TGCCTGTAGTCGTGGGCCCGAGACGGACAATCGCATTACATACAGGTTGAAGTTCAGGCCAAATGCACCACCTGTTCATTTCCTCGATGCCTGCACCTGTTGCAGAAACACCTGGGGCGGCACATGATTGGTCTAGTTAATGTAACAATAAAGCAATTGGAGCCAGAAATTATTCCCAGTGTATTCTCTATTAGTTGGGAATTTATCGAAACTCAAGTACATTTCCTTACTTATTTCAGTTCAAAATTCTTCAAGCTCATGAAGCTTCTACATCAAAAATTGGCGAAGAACAAATTTTTTTATTTCTTACCATGGAATTTGTTTAGAAAAAGCGGTTGAACTTATGATGAGTGGTTTTGCCAAGAAATATTTACAAAATCACCATTCCAAAGCGGATAAATTATTAACTTCAAAATTAGAAGAAAATGTTGGATAATAAATTTAAATTCTCCTATTTTGGAAATAAAAGATCTGTGTGTTTCAATTAGTAATAATAATTTTGAAAAACACCATTAAGAAAGTAATGGATCGAAGAAAAGTACATTCTCAAAAGTTCTGTCATTCTGCTTTTATTTCAAATGGTAAGATTTTTTTTAATGGATTAAATCTTCTTTAATCTCTGGTATAAAATGTACTGCCAGAGCACTCCAAGAACTGAGCCCTCAACCCTTGCAGCTGCCCTCTCCACCTTTTCCTGTGCAGTATTGACAAGTTCAGAAGGCCATTCGGACAATGTGGCGTTTAGCCAAAGTAAGTACCTAGAAGGGGTCTGACCATGGGGTGCTCTGGGCTGCTTGCACCCGCTGTTCTGTTAAGTCCCCGCTGGCTGACCACCATGGGGCGCGCGCTGGCCTTTCCTCTTGCGGGCCAGAGTAAGTCGGTAGCTGTTGCTACTCGCAGAAAACTAGGAGGGTTCTGCTGACTGCGGCCCAGGTTCTACTTGGGTTTGTGGCCAAGCTGGGCGGTTGTGCGCCTGGGTGTTGGAACTTTGGGTCAGACTTCAATAATTGAGCCGCAAGTTGTGTTGGTGTTGCTCGGAATTGTCCTGGCTGGTCTTGCTCCGCTGTTCTTCCCTTTTCGCCACTGTGTGCCTGGTACCTGCCCGTGTTGGTTGGTACTTCACTGATTTTGCAACTTCCCCGCATGCTCTGCGCTGCTTGATTACACCTATTTCTGCAACAACTTCAAGTACTAAGCGCGGGGACGGACCCCGGAAGTTAAGGTTTTAACGGCGTAAAAGGTTTTTGGTGCCTCTCTGCACCTTTCAGCCATTATAAACAAAGAGAGGCGGAGATAGGCTGGAAGTTGTACCATCAACTGGACACGACCCATAAGGGAGCTGGCTTAGCTGGTGTCAAAATTCCTTTGGCAGAAACGGGCTAATGGGAAGCCTGACAATGTAACATTAGCCATCTTAAAAAAAAACTTTGGGGAGGGTTTAGGGCCTGCAGACGGCCAAAAGATGCCGAAGCTCAGTTCAAAGTGCTGCTGGCCGCCCCTCCTGACGCCGGCTAGACGGTGGCACACCGCAGTGTCGTTCACTGCTCCGCTGCACCAAGGATCTTAGGCCTTGCTGCGCGCCTCCCCACCAGTGAGCTGGACCCGCACGAGCCGGTGCCGCCTGTTGGCGGGGACCCCATCAGCCTGGACTTGCAGCAGATTGGTGTCAAGCTTAAAAGCAATGGCCGCTCGTATTAGAGGGAAAAGCTCGGCACCAGCTGGTCGTGTCGATAAGACACCATTCTCCTTGTGTGTATGGTGCACAACACAAGGCATACTTGGTAGGCATCCGTAGTTCAAGACAAACGTGGCAACTTGGCCTACAAAGGCGCACGCAGTTCCCAGTCCTTGTTCTTGGAGGGTACATGTAGGCTGCGTGGTGTATTGGTATTCTTGTGTCCGGGGCACTCCTGTGCCAGCTTCTGCAGGGAGCGGCGCCGCATCAGGCCAAAAGCCTTGGTGCGCGGACCTGGCATGGACCGTGAGGGGGGACCATGACCCCTGAATGGCAGGCGGTCCGCGAAGTCGTAAGATAGGCAGGTCAGCGAGCGAGCCAATGAAGAAGACCTTATAACTGCCCATCGAGGTAGCAGCTATCCTGCAACATGCGTGAAGCGTGACAGGAAGTGCAATAATGCTTTGTCCTCCGATTTCGCCAGCAAGTCAATTACGCCAATTAGAACAGACAGAACCGAAGGTACGCAGCAGCGACTCTCAATTTCGCGAAGATGCAAGGGCCTTGCTGTTGCCGCGACAAGAATTAAAATCCTTTTCAACGGCACATGGTCCAAGCTGTATTTCAACCAGAAGCCAGGCGACCCGAACCCGAGGCGCTGGTCGCGGTCTGGTGTTTCCCTCTGAACCTGGACAACGGCAAGGTTGTGACATATCAGGAGATCGGCTACACCGCGAAGGCGTTGTGGCGTGCGGCAATGCGCCAAAGCTGAGTGCCGGGCCATGCCGTGCGGCCACCCTGCGCTGAAACATGAACATGAAACTAAGAGAAGGCAAGAAGGAAAGCAAAGGAAACTAAACAAGTGATCACGGCGAACTGCGTATGCACGGTTGTTCGAGACGATGTTAAACTGTCAAACCGTCAAGCTATGGTTGAAGCAGAGGGAGGGAGGAGTAGAAGGTTTTCAGGGTCTTGAGTAACAGTTTTCATTCAAGGCTTTAGACAGATGTGCGGCGTGGAGTAAGACAGGCTTGCATTCGCTAAACGTAAACTGCGGGATTCGTTTCACGCGATCACATGCACTTGAGGTATGTGTTCTGAAAGTCAGTCTTCACTGCTATCAGGACACAGAAAACTGTCCAGACGAAATGCCGACTATAATCACATGCCGAAAGTTGATTGATATCTGAACGACAGAATTCCTGCATCGGACAGCGAGAGCCGATAGCGCTGAAAAAAGAAGGACTGTTTCGTTCCCCTTGGCATTTGGACGTTAGCAGTCACACTTGGGATCTTTTCAGGAGGGAAAAGGCATGAAACGGCTTACTGGAGCCAGCTTCTCCAGTCATCAGTGTGCCAGGTCTCTTCTTGGGCGTGTGTGGGTGGCCGGTTGATTCCCGGCTCTCTCACTCCGTGCCTGCCAGACACCGGCTTTTGGAGGTCTTTTGCTGACTAAGGCATGTGTAACAAAACACGACTCTTCACTGCACATCGGTTGAGGCGGATGCCCCTTTAGCCCACCATCAACCCACACGTCGTCGAGAAGTTATCGCAGGCCCCCCGTAATCTTGATCGGAGTTTCATGAATGTGCTCACGGCTTACTTCTCCCAAATGTGGGAGTTGAATTTGTCTTGAGCCCGCAAACAACTGTCGTGACTTGGGAACGTTTCTTGTTCCTGCTCCGAAAGTGTCAACACTGGTACAGGGCTTTACACAACCCTGTGGACCAATCCCCCTCACAACCAACAAGGTGCAGGTTGTCGCCTGTGCTGCCCCTCGGACGGATGTTGGCTTCCTCCCTCTCTCCATCTCTTCGGTGGAGTTGTTCTTCGTCTACCGCGTGAGTTTCCGGTTGTTGAAATTGGCGATTTTTTTGTTTCTGGGTTTGCTATTGCCGCCTTTTTGGATTTGAGTTCAAATGTTCTGCCCTTTGGATTGCTTTTCCTATTTCATTCCTGGCGTCGGAAAGGAACAACTTCCCTCCCGTTGTTGGAGATGATTTCAACTGGCTCAAACGAAATCAGCCCTATAGTGATTTTCAAAAGCTTTGCAACGCTGTGGACTCTTCCCCTCTGAAGTACGGTTTACAAGGTTTAGGGTTTAGGGTTGTGCAGAGCAAGCGGGATTGTTGCCAATGCGCTTTTGTGAGCATCCTTTGTCACCACGCACACGTGGAAGCTTGATTGGCGCAGATGGCCACACCAAAGTCACCAAAGTGCGAAGGTCGTCATGTGTTGAGCCATTCTTAGTCATCTTTAGTTTGCATGTGAGGATGGGTGCTTATGTGGTTAAACGTTTTGCGTTTCTTTACCGAGGCCTGGCAAAATTGTGGTGTGCAGATTCGATACGTTAAAGCTGAACTTGACGTGCGTCGTATGCAAGTACCCCCCAAAGCCGCAACAGCAATCCGCATACATGGACGCAGCATTTGTGAACACAAGCCTTCTCGATTGTCCTTGCGGGAGCTGCGATTGAACATGCCCCAAGATCGCCACCCAGATGCATTCAGAGTCGCCACCCTAAAGCCAGAACCCTGAACCCGATTTCCTTTTCCCGAAAAGCTTTCCCAACCCGGCGGCCAAGGCTACGAATCAATTGGCGAGAAGTGGGTACGGTTCCTACATGCTTGCTGCCTTGCAGCGACTTACTTGGTTCACAAGTACCATGAACCTCCAAGTAATGTGTTTGCTAGCCAAGCTTTGTAGGATGTGGGCTGGCAGGATGTCGAAGAGGGGGATGACTCAAGCGAGGCCTCTTCGGGTTTAGGGTTTAGGGTTTAGGGTTTAGGGTTTAGGGTTTAGGGTTTAGGGTTTAGGGTTTAGGGTTTAGGGTTTAGGGTTTAGGGTGAACTCAAGATTGTGAGATCGCGACGCAGAGACTACGTTGGACGTGTCAGTCACACGATGAGCAGTGCAGAAAGGCGTATCCCAATCCATCAAGTCGAAGCAATCAGATACATCATAGCATGAGGCGCGAATGCTCGGCTGGCGTAGTCAGGATCTGACCCTCATATCGCTGTGCTCCTTCAAGCGTTGCTGCTTCAAGGGTGAGCTTCCAAACCACGGGCAATGGCGAAAAACAGCTATTTCGTGTTAGTTGAAACGTCTCGGCAGCCTGAAAAATGCATCACAGATTGCAGGCAGATGTGTCCGAGGAAGAGGGCTACTTCTCACACAAACTGAGCTTCTTGTCGGATGCGAGGCCCGGCTTGTCTCCTAGTGCCATGATTGCAACTTGCCCTGGATCATGGGCACCACACACAGAATGGGAAGTGTGCAGAAAGACCTCGAGTTTTGCGAAGTCGGATGTCGCAGGGATGGCTTCATGGTGGCGCATAAAACTGCGCTTCAAGTGGCTTGCGCGGTTCCGAGCACCTGCCATTGCCTGTTTTGCCAGACTGATGTGCCGTTTGCATGTAACTGTGCCCTAAACCCTAGACCCTTCTGAATTGATCAGTGTGCGGCTTGAATGTCACGATTTGTTGATGTGCAAGTTGTTGTTTAGGCTGGGTGACAATCTGGGCCGGCATCGCTGTGTACTACCGACGAAGCAAACTCACGGACATGGGTTTCAGTGCCGCAACCATCTTGCCAGACCCTCAGCCATAGCTCAAGCAGAATTCCTGGTGTGATTCACAGGAGGATCTGACGAGTAATTGCAGAAGCTGATCTTAAACCCTAAGCCCTAAACCCTACACCCCAAACCCGTGCAGGTGCAACGTCCTCTTCCAGGTGGGCTCCGACATGGGCTCCACCATCAAGAATGTCTACTTCGGCCTCATCGGACAACTCATTGCGTGGCTTCTTGTCAAGAAACATCATTTGTCATCGAAGTCGCACACAAATACCCTGGAGTAAACCGCCACGCAAAACGTTCAGGCTGGGAAATCTTAGGTGATCGTTCAGGCAGCCCGGGTCGGCTGTAAAGAGAGAAGGGGCACCAGCATTTGGTTTTGGGATGTTGAGGGACGTTTTCGGGTTTGCGGCCTGTTTTGGGATGATGTCCCAAGCACCCCCCGTCCCAGCCTCTGGAACTCAGCGTGCGTCCGGTTGCTACGGCATCTGTTTATCATAAGCTTCCATCATCATATAGAAACTACATCAATGTAACTAGTATAACAATATACAAATATGGGGTAGCACGAGGCTGGTCTACTGGGTTTTCATCGGCTTCTACCCTGAGGGCTATGATGGCAAGTGCCGCGGCTTAAGCGTGAGCAGCGAATGATCAGCCTCGAAATGCAAAGTTCTGCATGGGACGGGCTCGGGCTTTCGAAGCAACAGCTTGTTTCGAACGATAATTTTGAATTTGGACAATTGTCTCCTTTATGCAGAGGCATCACTCAGTCTGGTGGGCAGCCATGTCAGTGATCTTCCTCTTCACCTTTGGCTTAATCTTCCTCAAGATCAATGAGACTGTTCGATTCTGGGCGCTGATTTCCTTTACCGGCGGCTTTGCCATGAACATGGTGAAGCCTGGCATTGAGAATGAGCACAACACAGGCTGAAACTCGCTTGTCGCTTCTTCGCAGCTCTTGCAGTGCTTACATGCATTGGTAACATGCACTCTGGCAATATGAAGATAACAATAATACTAGTATACTCATGTAAGAACGACATTAATAAATTTGTATACTATGGTAGTGTAATCATGCGTGGTCGTTCTGAGAGGCGGCTTCAAGTTCGACTACCGCGGGACTGCAGAGAACGAGCCTCGACATCGCCCCCTTGGAAAGCCTCAACAGTGTGCTATGTGCGATTGATATAGGGTTCGGAATAGATATACTATAATGGCCTCCAAAACCCTATTCTGACTCTTAAGGCCCCTATACTAAGTGCTATCATGTTTGCTGCGCCCTTCGTGGCGTGCAGTTTCAGTGGAGCAGAAGGGGGTGAGGAAGTTTAGAATCTCTTGGTACGGTTTTTGGGATGTTGGCTGGCCTCCCAAACGATCTGGCATCCCAAGCGATCGGCTGCATGGCCACTCAGGGAATTGTTCTCTTCGTAGTTGCGGGCGTCCTTTCGATGATGGTCTTCGCCATTCCGCCTGTCTTATCTTTGGATCGTGGCCAGAAGCGTGTGGAGACCTGACTGAAGGTTCACGGGATTGTGAGAAGAACTCGTGGCAAGCCTTATCACCATGACATCAGGTTCGTGCAAACGCCGTGAACTTGTGCCAAGGTAATCGTTCTGAAGAAGCTGAAGCAGAATGTCCAGTGTCTCGAGCTGCACCTGATCGTGACGGGGCATCCCTGTGTACTTTACCATCATGTCCTCTGACGCTGTGCTGAGCTGAGGGATTTGAACAAGTACTATGCTCGGGACACGGCCGGCCTGGAGATTGTGTCCATCAAGGATGGATTGTCTCGACGTCATCATTGTCTTGCCATGATCTTGCATGTAAGACGCAGGGTTTTGAAGTTTTGTCTGGTGCCGCCGACGCAAGATGCTGCTTGGGCTCTTTTAGGGCTGCTGTGTTTCCGTTGCATATTTTCAGGGCTGGCAGATGGCCAGAGCGGCTAGATGAATCCCACAAGTTTGTAGGGTGCCGTAGGTGATGTCCGAGTCATGTAGGGTGTTTCGTCGTGACTCCCTGTCTCACGTTGTAACTCCGTGTGTGTGTGTGTGTGTGTGTGTGTGTGTGTGTGTGTGTGTGTGTGTGTCTGTGTGTGTGTGTGTCCCCAGGTCGTCGAAGAAGAAGTAGGTTGAGCACTGAGTGCCGATAGCATGAAAGCAACATGATCAGTGTGAGCGTGCACATAGCCAGTGCCTGGAAGCATAGAGTTTTGTCAACTGACATCCGGAGAATGCCGGGCATTTGTGCAGTGGGTCCAGCGAAGATGCTGAAGATTTTCGGTGGCATGCGTACGTACAACAGGTGGTACACAGCAAAAGTAGAAGCGCCAACGGCCAAAAATAGATAACCGCAAACAACAACAGCATCCCGAGGCCTTCAAAACGGAGCAAGTTCGCATTCCTGTATACCAGTGACATTGGCATCGCTAGTGACCCGCTTCCTGCGTGATGGCACACCTCTGAGGTGGTTGAGCAGGGCTTTCCTCAATTTTACCGCGAGAGCCAAGTCACGTGCTGAAGATATTGTAGACATTTGGTACTTCCCCTCCCGCGGGATTTTCCTTCTTAAGAACCTAATTTCGGGCCCTGGCCTTCAAAAACACGCCGGCTCATACTTTGCATACCCAAGCCGCCGAACAGTGATCAAATCTGGGTTCAGGTCCAACCAAATCAAGTATTGACCTCAGAGCCCAATATGCGGGGATGCCACACACATCCTGCGCGCAGACGGTGGCTGCGCATTCAAGCAAGCGGGTCCTAGACCTTGGTCATAGGTCTTCGGAGAGATGTCCCCATTGGTAGATGCCTCAGGAAGTCATGGGGGCATCTTGGATGATGGATGTGGGGGCGGCGACTTCAAAGCCACTTTAAAGTCGGCCCTTGGGGCACGATATCTCTAAGTACCGGAGGGCTCGGCAACATTGCCTCCGCAGACCCACCGGGCGACTTTAAAGTGACTCTACAGTCGGCCCCCCCGGGATGCAAGATCCAAGATCCAAGATCCAAAGTGCCTCCCGGATTTTCTGAGGCATCTGGGATCTTGAATCCTGGATCCCGGTGGACTTTACTTTACAGACCCCCTGTTCGGGCCCGATTGCTCTAAGTACAGGTGCTCTGTGCGCGATATCCTCTAACACTTCGGCTAGCAACTATGCGTTTATGCTCAGACATTCCTGAGTTAAATCAGACTAAATTCCAGCTTCAAACATATGATCTTCCCAACAAGCAAAGCCTGACATTTTCTATATGTTAGCCAGGTTAAGCTTTATCCAAAGCACTGTATCTTAAGCTAAACCTTCCGATCAGCAACACCTGACATCTCACATAGTTTTGCTTTGCTGTGCTTCATGCAAAACAGCTTATCTTAAGCAATCACGCCCTAGGCAAAACTTAAATTGGGCTTTATATAATGTATACTGCATATTGTCTTGGGATTTCCCCCCTCAAAAACTGCACAGGGCCCGACATGGCAAAAGGCAACTGATCAACTGACTATAAGTAGTATAACTACCCACTACCCTTTTTCATCGAAAATAGCAAATGCAAGGAATATGGTGGGCAGAACAACGAACGTAGAAAGAATCAAATGCGTATACTGACTATAATGAAGGAACATAGCGAATATTCAATATCGCGGATGTACTGAATAATAATGAACATACATCATGACCTTCATGCCTTGTATTCATGCCAATGCTAACGTTGGCTACATGATTATGTTTTTCATTCACTAGTTGAATGTTCTTAGCTGTATTAAGTATATTATATTAGCTGTATCAGTTCTCGCCTGCCAGTTATATCAGTTGTATCATTTATATAACGATAATCCGTAAATTCATAATGAATATAATGAAGATAATCAAAATAGTGCGCATTAGACTCATAGGGAATGAAATCAAGACAATGAACATAATATGTAATGAGCTTAATGCAAATCTATGTATTAGCATTCGTTTCATTCATCAGATTCACTACAGGTATACTATTTGAATCTTCTATATTCAATGTAGCCATTGTCTTCATTGTATTGTTGCAAAATTGCATCAGTTGTATGAATTATTTTCAGCATATCTAGTTTGTTACTTGTTATATGACATATATTGATTGCATCCACGAAAGTGCTTTGATGTTGTTAGTTCTATCAACTGTATAAACTAAATGACTTAGATGAAGTAGATTAAACACAATAACTGTATGAGTTATATTGGTTATGTTTGTTTGTACCGGTTATATGAAAGTTCGTTTTGTCGGTCAATTTTTCCCGAGCCGGCTCGAAAACCGCCAAAGAACATCAGCCTTTCTGGCTTACAAAACTCGAGCCGGCACGAAACAGCCCGACAAGTTCCGAGATCCCAGAAGCTATGGTCCTCGACCTAGGTCAGCACCACAATGACCACGGTTCAATTTCCAAATGAGTCACTTGTGTGCCGTCGCCCAGCATTTGCATCAAGACCCTGCGAATGTGGCGGCAGGAAGATTTCGTTCTACTTCGCAAAGAACTCGAAGAAGCCGAAGCATATGGCCACTTGCTAGTCGAATCGGTTGAGTCGGCTGAAGCACAATTGCTGAGGAAACTGCAAAGGCTCTCTGGGTTGCACAAAAACTGCGTGCCAGGTGCTGCATCATGGTATGAGTCGCTGGGAACTAGCAGTCGGCGGGAGTTGACTACAAAGCTGACGGCCCTCATCCGGGACACATGCACGTTGCTATCACGCCGCCGACATGTTGTTGCTATGGTGCTGTCACTTTTGTGTTTCATGCCTGGTTGAACATGGACCCACGGCTGCCGCCTCAAGGGATCGTGCGACTTGTTATTGACTCGTCCGGCAGGACTTGATCGATACCGCTGCGCCACTGTTCCAGATAGTTGCCGAAGAGGACTTTGGGCAAAGCATGGGGCTCTGCGGGAGACTGCACTTGCACATATGTCTGTATAGTAACGGGCCGAGAGAACACGAACTTCTCAGGTCATTCAGCCATCATTCGACACGTCAGGGTGCCCATGAACAATGTCGTCGACAGCGCGCTGCCTAAAGCATCAAGCATTGCTTGAATTGCACCTTCATTGTGCGTTGCAACTCTTGCGGACGCCGTTGTCTGTTCGACTCAGCTACACCACATGTTGTTAAAGCTGTCTGTGAGGTACTCTCCGCATGGTGGAGATGCTGATCGAAGCTTGTGAAGATGGAGCTGTGAGCAAGTCTGAGAAGGCCAAGCTCAAGGCGGACAAAGCAATGCAGCTTCGAGACTGCCCATTAGCCAGTGGAGCCGGTAGAGTCAGCAGAGTTATTCCCCTCTAGGAGGGGAAAGGGGATCCCCCCCTCATCGGTCGGAGTCGAGCTGAACATATGCGCACGTACCGCATGTATGTATCAGGCAGAAATCGACGAGATGCCAGAGCTGGTGGCTACGCTGCAGCAGCAGGTGGAGTCGTCAATAAGCCAGGATTCATGCTTCGGTTGATCTGATTTGCGGGCTCTTTTTGTGAACCGGCCGCCAACAGACCCCATGGATTGTGTCAATCTACCACATGTAGATTGCAACTTATTGTATGCAGACCGGTTTGCGGCGATGTTGGCAGTTGAAGATGGCCACGGTGGAGCGTGGTGCCCGCAAAATCGAAGAAGAGGTTGGGAGCTGCCTTCTTAAGGTTTGGGTCTGTAGGCATGCACGCACGTAGGCACATATACATATACGCACGGAGGCACGTACGCCCGCAAGCACATACGCAGCCATAGTGCAGCCATGCACCCCGGATCGCTGAGGTATGCACACACGCATACCACCAGACACGCAGACCTGCACGCAGACACGCAGATACCCACACGCGCACGTGGACACACACGCATGCACACAGACCCGCACAGGCGCATGCACGCACGCTCGCTCTTGCGCTCGCTGACACGCACGCACGCACGCCGGCTTGCAGCCACTGACCACCCCCCCCCTCCACCAGGATTGATCTAGTTGCCTGAAGTAGGAATGTTGACATCTAGATTGATTACCATCAATGATGATTCGCAGACGTCTCTGATGGCATTCCGTTCAATTGCATAGGTTCATAAGCGGACCAGGATTGCAACTGAAGGCCTGGCCGAGATGCTTCTGAAGAAACGTTCAACCATCTCAGCCTACCCACATCTGTTACGGACAGAGGTTTCGCACACACGGTACCGGTCGAAGCCGGTCATCAAGGCTAACGAGAAGACTATTTCACGGAACGTGATAATGTTGTCTTTTGATTTTTAGTCGCTGCAACAGCGACGCAAAACTGCAAGTGATTTCATGTTTTAACTTTATTGACACGGAATGTTCCAAAAACGGAGCCATGTGTAGAGTGTGTTTTCATTCATGGAAGTGACTGTTTGGTATGAAGTTTTTACATGGCGCATACTCGATGCACAGGGAGAATTCTGTGCCGTCAGTATGGCCCGAACCTGCAGAAAGCAGTCAAAGTAGGTCATTAAACTGGCCTTCAGATCCGAACAGGTTGTAAAAAAGACGAGCAAAAAAACACAAACAAAAGACACAGCACAGAAGGAATTCTGAGATTCTCACTGAAAGTTTGTTGTTTTGTTCTTGTAATGTCTTGGAGGACCAAACGCATACACCCATCACTCAAGTTTCTAAGCGAAGAAGTCAGTGTGTGGCAAGGTAAGGTGTTCTTGAATGTGGCGTACTTCTTGTCGACCAAGAACTAGCAGAGTTAGCTTACCTCTTCCCTCAGGTGCTCGGAGAGCATTACGTGGTTCTCACAGTTTGCTACCTTGCCCAGCTGGTTCACGACCAGTCGGTGTTCTTCCTGGACTATGAGCGTGACTTGGAGAAGATTGGTATCAGGTACCAAATTCTGCGTGGCCACATGCCTTATTCCAGAGTGAAAAAGGGCGCCTTGCTTCCAGAGCCCTACCCTAAACCAAAAAAACCGTAAACCCTCAACGTCTGTTACTTGACAGCGTTGGCCCTTCCGCCATCGTTGTGTATCCTGCAGCGACTTTGAGCCCACCGACGGCAGACTCACACAAACAAACGTATTTGGGTTTCCGTACTGCGGAGTAGGGTGCTAGAGAAGGTTGGATAAGGACCTCGTGGCCTAGCTGGGCTTCCAATGAACATAAATTAGCATTCATCTATGTAATTAGATATGATGGTTTATGCATGTATTTATTCAATGCCGCGAGTAACCCGTCCTTCCCAATTCTGCAAAAGCAAATTTCCAATGTTGCCCAAGAATGTCTTGAAGGTGAGCTGTGCTCCGCATCGTGACTACACTTCTGGCTGTTTATGAACTACTCCTGTACTTCTGATATTCCAGTGGCTCCCAGCAACGTCTGAGGGTTCATGTCGTCAGGTAGCGGAGGCCTGCTGGACGAGTGCACAGACTCATTGTCGAGCTTGTTCAAGTACGACAAAGGTGACCTGAGGCCTGTTTCCACTTGCAATTCTTGGCTTATACATGATACAGTATTGTATGTTCTTCAATGTAGGTTATATGTCATATGTTAGATATTATGTTTTGGATGTTTTTGCTATGCTATGACACGCCAGGCTGTGGCGGGTGCATGTTTAGTGATGCCAGAAATAATGGAGATACGAGCAACACTGGTACTACCAGACGTGCGGGTCAGGCTAGGAGTAAGAAGAATAAGAAGGTAAGAAGAGTAAGAAGAGTTAAAAGTATCAAGGATAGTAAGACTGGAAATTGAGAGTGCCTTGTAAGAATAATCATTGTGTAAGTACTCGTCGTCGTAGTCGCCGCCGTCGTCGTCGTAGTAGTAGGAGGATGTGGTGTCGGAGTTTTTCATCGCATATCGGGTGTGCGTACTGCGTGTCCGTGTTGGTGGCCGCTTTGCCTTGAAGGTGGGCCATGCGCTCAACACTCTGCCTCCTCACCAACTTCATGATCGGCTGGAAAGGCAGAACAAGAATTAGCCTTTGTGAAGGGAAATACATCAGCGATGTGGCCTGCTTCCATGTCATCTGGCTGCTGCCTTAAACCATAGCTAGCTACACCATTTCCAGCATGTTGCGCCCTAAGCCCGAAGCCCTAAGCCCTAAGCCCTAAGCCCCAAGCCCCAAGCCCCAAGCCCTAAGCCCTAAGCCCTAAGCCCTAAGCCCTAAGCCCTAAGCCCTAAGCCCTAAGCCCTAAGCCCTAAGCCCTAAGCCCTAAGCCCTAAGCCCTAAGCCCTACGCCCTAAGCCCTAAGCCCTAAGCCCTAAGCCCTAAGCCCTAAGCCCTAAGCCCTAAGCCCTAAGCCCTAAGCCCTAAGCCCTAAGCCCTAAACCCTACCCTAAGCCCTAAACCCTAAACCCTAAACCCTAAACCCTAAACCCTTGCATTGTTTTTGGGGATCATGGTTTGGTGTGTTGTCCACACATGTTGGTCCTCTTTCGGGAGGCTGGTGCGATGAGCTGGCCATGCAGGAGTTTATCGAGACCCCGACAGGGCTGAAAGAGGCCCATAGGGGTGGTTGGCAAAATTATGGTCCTTTTTTGGATCCCTATTATTATACGGCACCTAATATTTAGGGTGCCCCAAAAGGGATCATAAGTTTGACAGCCACCCATAGAGGGGTTTGAGGACCATGCAAGCAATAAAAAGCAAGCAGTCAACAAATCAGCGGCATAATCTTTACGAGGAAGAGAAACAGGGGCCGTGTGGTGACCGGGGGGTGCAGAGCTCTGCGGAGCTTGAGGAGCGAGTGGATGTTTGCTTGGTTTTCCAGGAACCGGTGTGCTTCATCACGAAGTACACAGCTGGTCTTGCGAACATCAACGTCTCTTGCCTGCAATGTCCAGGGCCTGTTGTCTTACTTGCGTGTTTCGGCCTTTGTTATCAACTGGCTGGCAGAAGTCTTCTGCACTGTCAGTAGCCACACTTTCAATCCCACTGTCGAAATTTGCAGTTGATTGTTGCAAGCATTTTTTTGGTGAGACATCTGCAGTAGCATCGTGACTGATGAGGCTCAGCCTTTTGCCTAGAGGTCCAACCTCGAGCTTTCTGTGTGCCTGAGGTGATTCTCATGTCTCGCTACAGTGCAGGCACACTTCAGGCCGGCCCTGGGATTCATAATGATGGCATGCTGTCGAGACACATTCAATCAACACTGCTCAAACCTGTATCTTCACAGGCCGCTTTGGAGCGGGTAGCCGCTGTGGTCTTTGCTTCTGTGGTCGGCCGGAGACACAGACACCTCTGTGTTTCGCATTTCTACTCCTGAGGTTGTGAGGCAGGCCTGCAGATGTGTATCTGACCAGTCGGGAAGGGTTCCCTGTGCGGAAAGGACGTCCCCCAAGAGTTGGACTTCTGAAAAATAGGACCTTGCAATGAGGACGAAATGGACGTAGCCCTGCCATTGCCATCATAGCGAAATTTTGTGGCAACAGCCCTAAGGTCAGATCGGTTACGTGGCACTGGGTTGGTGCAACGATGAAGCGAGGACTCGATGGGTCAGCTTGGGAATCATTGCGGTCTTGACATGAGCGGCGCAGAGTGGAGTATCCGGACCCTTCCGGTCACACAGAAGGTGTGCCAGACACTTCCGTGCCTGCAAGCAACGGGCCTTGCCTTCGCTCACATTGACATGCGAGAGCACACACCTATTGCAAAGCAAGATGCAAAGCAAGATCAAGCAACCAGAGCACGTTGAAGAGCAGCGGAAGCGGGGTCCCTCTGACTATTGCTGCTTGGTGTCTTGAGGATACTGACAGTGGTGGCGGTGTTCTTCGTGACGTGGGGCTTCATGTGACACAGCCGAAAGATGTCACAGGAGGGTTCTTCTGTTCTTCAACAAAAATCCAGACCTAAACTCTGAAGCCTACACGCGACCATGAATCCTTACAGGTATTTCAGCTACGACGGGAACCCGGATTCGCAGGCCATTGCCCAGCGACTTGCAGCCATCTCTGACTTTTGGCTACACGAGAAAATGGCCGTTTTAGGGGCTTAAGGTTCAGGGTTTGTAAGTTACAGTAAAGGGGATGCTCTCTTCGTGTGATTGTCTCGTGAGGTTAAAGGTTGCACAGGACATGTCTCATGACGGCAAGTCGGCAAGCAAGGTCTCTTCTCTCATGGCCGATTGCTCGAATGAGTCCGGCACGGCGTCCACGTACTCTGACTCCTACCACTCCTTCAGTGAAATCATTCTTGGTGCCTGAACCTGTTTGAGGTGTGTGTGTGTGTGCAGACACAAGATGGCGCTGTTGCTTTTGAAGCATTAAACCTGGTGCTCCCGACTTCATGACCGACCGTTTGAGGTGTGCTTGTCATGACCTTGTTTGACACCCTGTTCGGAGAAGAGCCTGCTGCATCACAGGCGATGTGGCGCGCAGAAGTTATCATTACCTCACTGTCTCTCACTGCTCTTGGGGCCTATCCCTCCAGCCCTACTGCCAGGCAAGAGACAGTGCCCGCCAAGCTGTCTTGGCTTTCAAGAAGGCGCCTGTTCTCAAGTCAGTGGCCGAAACATGGTGTGTTTGAAGCGATGTCAGCCGTCCGATGGCTGTCGAAACACAAGCAACCAACATGTTGGCGTATTGGTCAGCCGTGAAAAAAAAAGCCGTGGAAGTTTGCGCAGCGCACAAGCTACCCAGTAGTATGTGAAGCAGCACGCCGAGGTCATTTTTGGGCAGATAACGCCGTGCTTACTGCTTTCACGGTTTAAAGCAGAGAAAGTGTTTCATATTGCTCCCATCCGATACGTAAGTTCGAGGTAAGTCTGCAAGAAACATCCACGCTTCAAAGTGCCCGTCCTTGTGCTGTGACATCGGTTTGTGCTTTCGCTATCCTTGTCAACAAGCTCTCGAACCTCTGGGGGGGGGAGTGGATGAACCCCTAGCCCTAGATCCTAAACCCTAAACCTGGACCCTAAACCCTAAACCCTAAACCCGAAACCCGAAACCCGAGACCCTGAACTGGACAATTCCAAATGGCGCAGCGAAAGCCCAAGTTACGTCCCCGCCAAGCCCCCGATTCCGAAACCGGGGGCGAAAGCACGAGGCGTGGAAGCCCCTGGAGTTCCCGAAAGCATGTGAAGTAGGGTTTAGGGTTTAGGGTTTAGGATTTAGGGTATAAACCCTGCTTCATACCTGCACCGCCGCAGACCTCTCGTAATCTCGGCGGTTTCGGGCTTGAGGTTTATGGGTTTAGGCTTTAGGGTTTAGGGTTTAGGGCTTAAGGCTCAAGGTTGATGGTTTGGGAACTGAGGGTCCGACCTTAACCCTTCACTCCCAAACCCGAAAGGAATCTTCCCAACGAGTCGCGCGGTCAGCCACTGCCAAAGGTGTTCGTTGAGTACTTCAACAGCGAGATCAATGAAAAAGAGCTCCCTGCTGAAATCGTGCCCTGACATCCCTAGCTGAGGCGTTTCTTCTTTTGTCGAGCGTCTGCCCGAAACCCTAAACCACGAAGGCCGAAACCGCTGAAATACCTAGAAGGCCGAACTTGAGAAGTGCAGGGCAGGACGACGACTCTGGGAAGGTCTCTCTCAGATACTTTCATTCCGGGTAGCCTTCCAAGGTTTCAGATGTTCAGGGGTTTTCTGGTGGTGTTTCGGGCTTATAACCATCCAAGGGCACCTAAGGGGCTTATAAGTGGGTTATAAGCACAGCTAATAATTGGTTAATGAGTACCATGAACCTCCAAGTGGGGCCTAAACCCTAAACCCTAAACCCTAAACCCTAAACCCTAAACCCTAAACCCTAAACTCTAAACCCGAAACCCTAAACCCGCGCGAGTGAGTAAGAAGCCAGTTGGATTACCATGTCTGCAACATGTCGGCTTAGGTCTACAGGAGCCCAAGCCACAAGCAGAGTGTCTTTTTAAGAAATCATCATGTATAGTGTACAGTACTATTAAAGACGTTATAGGACACAGACTCCTATCAGAACTTGTCGTGTCTTGTTGTTTGTTGTGTTGTTCCTGCTTGGTGGAAAAGAGAGCCCTGCGTAACCCCGCTGTGGAGCTTCTTGCCCACGCGAGGGTTATGAGCCCAACGCTAAGTAAAAGGGCTCCGTAGAAAGTAGACCTTGCCATGGCAAACCTCCCGAATCCTTTCTGGTCAGATGCGGTGCAGCAGGAATTTCGTCGTGCACAACAGATGGTGCAGGAGGACCCTGGGGAAAGAGGTGCAGCTAGAGAAGGCGATGAATCTGAACGTGAACCGCCATATGAGTTCGGACCTCAAGGCCAGGAAACTCCTGAGGCCGGAGCAAGTACAGCGAGGGACAATGTGCCCCATGAACTAGCTTCGTGTCCTGCAGAAGTACTTCGTATTGACCCTGTTGCGCTTCCGACACAGCCACAGGAACCGGAGGCACAAGTTGCCAGAGAAGCATCGCCTGGACATCATAGTGTTACAGGCTACAGCGAGTTTTCGGCCATGGAACGTGGAGCTGTCAAAGCGGAAGATGATCGTGAACTGGTTCCAGTACAGCCTGAGGCTACAGATCCAATGCTACGCGTACTGATGCAAGACCAGCAGTCTTTGGTAGAGCGAATCGAGAAGCTGGCGAGCTCCAAGGCATCGTCGTCGTCTGCAGGTGCAACCTCCAGTATCCCTGAACCACGTCCGAGGGCTGTGTTTCCTCCTCAGTTCGTTGGCAGACCAGCTGTGACAGGCAAGCCAGCTAACCTTGAGGAAACTGGGACGGGACCTGGTGGGGAAATGAGCCAAATGGGACCGCCAACTGAGGCCCAGGCCCAGGCTCCGAGTGCGGGTGTGGTCGAGCTCGAAGGGTCACAGTACGCCTGGCGAATCACGCCCGAAGGATTGAAACTGGAGAAACAGGCCATGTCCGTAGCTGAGGTTTTGAACCCCAGGGCTAGGTCACCCTTTGTACCCGTCGCTCCCACTAGGAACCCAAACCAAACCCAAGAGCCTGGGAATCGGAATGAAAGCCGTGAAAGGTCGCACCAACCTGTCAGGACGTCAGGGGCGTCAAAGCTCTTGGATGTTGGTGGGGGCAGTGTTGAAGGAGGTCTTTGGGCGGACCTAAAACCAAAACCGCCGGAAGGGTTTTTCAGCGACGTGGCTGATTTGGCGGTCCCGAAAGTAAAAACACCTCAAGAGTTGTTGGGAGATGTGGCCGAGGCTCTCGAAGCAAGCCGGGGAAGTCCCCAGGCCGAGAGCCCACGCAACATCAAAACGTTTGAGTCGCCGTCTGGGGGCGACGTCTTGAGTGATCTTGCTGAGGAGTTTGAGCGAAACCATCCTCACAAGGTTTGCAAGTTGACGCTGCGTGTTGAAACAGCGAGAGTGCTGAATCAGAGTGCGGACGAGCTCGAGTCCTTGAAGCTTGAGTTTGAGAGCTTGTGGTTGAGAGTGCATTTAAATGGCCGTCCTTCATTACAATCCCAAACCTGTCAACAAATCCCGGCCGGAGTAGGTTTGGACTCTAAGATTGAGAAGCTCTCAGGGCCGAGGGCGAAGGATAATGACCCCCCAGAACTGAGTTCGGGGGAGAGGCCATGTAATCAGCTAGGTGCCGGTCAGATTGCTTTTGTGGTGCCTGGAATGTCCACTCCTTGTTGCGGCGATGTCGTTTTCGTCGTGGGTTGGACGTGCTGGAGTCAGATGTGGTATAAACTTTCGGCTTCGTCGGGGGCTTGGCGTGTTGCTGAAGACGCGGGCGGACCAGTTGACGAAGGGCGAGGGTGCCACCGGGGCACCCGCATCGCTATGATGAGATGACGGGGTGGGACCCGAGTGGAGAGAAGTCTCAATGCTGGCCCCGTGCGGCTAGCAATGAAGTGTTTCATCAGAAAGAGCATGATCGTGGACGCTGCGCCGTTATACTGAAGTTGGTGGTGCTAGCACTTTCGTGTTGGTGCACCCTGGTTTGTCTGTATCATCAATCCGTTGCGCTCTTTTGCGTGCCGAGGGCAAATCGGCCGGATTGTTGTCCGCTTGTGGCCTTCTTGTGGTTGGCGGTCAGTATCGTGGCTTTCTTCTTGTGATCTGAAAAGGTGTGTGGCGCATGTCCGCTGTGTTGCTCTGTTGGCGTTTGCTGCTAAGCAGCAAGGGGGAGGTACCCCAAATCAGAAAACAAAAAACAAAAAGCAAAACAGAAAAACCCAAAACCATAAACATGCTTGTTGTGAGTTGCTTGCGTGCGCTCCTAAGGAGCTGGACTTGCTTGGTTGCCATTGCTTGCGTGTTTTCCTTGTGTGCGTGAAGCTGTTGGCCGAAGTTGCCACAACACTTGACACTGCTGTAAAGGAGGGGGCAGCCACCCCGGTGGCAGTTCCTCAAAAGCCCAAAAACCCTAAAAATGGCACAATCCAGAACCCAAAAATTATTTATTGAAAGTCGAGACGTAAGTCCTGTTGCTCAAGAGCAGGCCGTCGCTTGTACCCGTAGTTGCTGTGAGCGTGACTGTGTTGTTTGCAGCAAGTTGCTTGTGAAGCTTGACAGTGCGTGCTCGGTTGCAACGTTTGCGGAGGAGCTGTTTGAGCTTGTGTTGCGTGCCGTGCCAGACTTGTCGTTGAACGAGCCGTGTGGCGGTGCTGCGGTGCTTGAGAGTTGTAAAGCTCACTTTGTTGAGCTCGATGTGCAGTTGTTTTTCGACGTTTTTTGGCCAAAGAGCCTTGAAGACGCGCCAATCAGAGCGTGTGACAAGGAGGCCTGCGAGGCCACCATCCTTTCTGAGTTGCTTGTGAATCGCGAAGAGCTAGAGTGTGAGTTGTGTGCCTTGAGCTTGCGTGGCGAGAGTTCGGTTGTAGTCTGCGCGTGCGAAACATCCTGTCCGGAAATTCTTGATGAGGACGCAGTCCAAGAGGGCACGCTGGAGCAGGTGCTGCAGACAAAGATCATACCGAGCTGGCAATTTCTTCGATGCTTCGAAGTGTGGCAGCAAACAGTACTCACTAAGTGCCTGTCCCTCACTAAGGACCAGCCTGTGTCTGCGACTAAGGTTGTTCAAGTACGACATGCGCATGAATGCCCCAGGACTGAGATACTGACAGTCTGTCTTTGCTTAGCTATTGCGGCTGAGGACCAGGACAGGGTTCGTAGCAGTAAAGAGTGGTCGTTTTTGCTCTGTGTTTTGCTGCAAATCTCAATCACGTCCATTGCTGTTTGGGAAGCACTTAAGGCTTGTTTGAGGGCAGTGTTTCGTCAAGCCGAGGATCTCCTCAGGCCGAGACGCCAAGCCCCAGAAACTGTAGAGCTTTTCATTCCTGAACAGCCCGAAGATGAGTGTGAAGGCCCAGATCTTGATGAGGCCCCCAGGCGAAGGTCCCCGAAAGTAGCGCAGCAGGCGCATGATGTAGAGCCTCAAGGCCGCCCTATCGCATTTGCCTTTGCTGATGATGAAGTTCAGGTGTTTGTGCCAGGCCCAGCACGCGAACCCGCCTGAGCCTATGCTAAGAGCTCTACTAGACGCCCAGCCTAGAGGTCCTTTTTCAAGCGAGGCCCCTACGGCTCGGCTTCCCACCTGTTCCACCCTACGTCCTCAGGGTAGGCTGGCCCGCCCCCACGCTGCAGCCAACTATGAGAGGGAAATGCGGCGCCCGAGGACTTCATCGTGAGCATCAATGGCGTGGACGCACAGAGCTGGAGGTTGATGTGAACCTTTTGCTGCCAGGTCCAATATGAAGTGTGTGTGGACTTTTGCTTCCTCTATGCCGGGGACACACCCCAGGCCGGAGTGGAGCATACAGAGACCATCTTCAACGGAGCATTTTGCTTCCAAGAGGCTAAACATGATTCATTCCGGAACAGCATCCCACGCCGCAGGATGCAGTGAAAGCCGTTTCGAAGCTCTTTGCCTCCCATCATACAGTTGGTGACGTGTCACCAAGGGGGAGCGCGAGTGAGTAAGAAGCCAGTTGGATTACCATGTCTGCAACATGTCGGCTTAGGTCTACAGGAGCCCAAGCCACAAGCAGAGTGTCTTTTTAAGAAATCATCATGTATAGTGTACAGTACTATTAAAGACGTTATAGGACACAGGCTCCTATCAGAACTTGTCGTGTCTTGTTGTTTGTTGTGTTGTTCCTGCTTGGTGGAAAAGAGAGCCCTGCGTAACCCCCGCTGTGGAGCTTCTTGCCCACGCGAGACCCGAAACCCTAAACCCTAAACCCTAAACCCTAAACCCTAAACCCTAAACCCTAAACCCTAAACCCTAAACCCTAAACCCTAAACCCTAAACCCTAAACCCTAAACCCTAAACCCTAAACCCAAACCCTAAACCCTAAACCGAGGCGGCCGTGCAGAGTGAGTTGGCGGAGGCCAAGTCGTTCACGAACTTCGCCGTGATGGAGCCAAGGCCTGACTCTGAGAACTGCTTAGGGCTTAGGGTTTAGGGTTTAGGGTTTGGGGTTTAGGGTTTAGGGTTTAGGGTTTAGGGTTTGGGAGCTCGTCTGGCTGGTTCTTAGTAGGGAATGAGGCAATGAGGTGCCCTATAAATCCCTTAGAGGGTATATCTAGGGCCTTGATTCCCTCATTCACTGCTAAGAAACAGGTGGTCGGTCTTCTCCTGTGTGCCCCCCCAAAGAGTCTTGCTGCTCCCTAGGCAAATGTCAGAATCACCTCATTTCACCCTAAACCCTAAACCCTAAACCCTAAACCCTAAACCCTAAACCCTAAACCCTAAACCCTAAACCCTAAACCCTAAACCCTAAACCCTAAACCCTAAACCCTAAACCCTTAAACCCTAAACCCTGGTAAATCAACCCTGAAGTTGCCAGGTTCTGGCGGCCGACCTTTAACAAGACCCTCTACGAAACAGTCCTTGCCGCGCGACCAACCTTTGGTGGCTGCATCACTTGCTTTTTTGTTTAGGGTTTAGGGTTTAGGGTTTCGGGTTTAGGGTTTTTGGGTTGTGAGGGGGTTTGCCCACTCAGCATCTCGCATTGGAGTTGGTGAGAAGTTGCGAGCTATGATCATCTGCACATCACCACTTTCCAGACAGCAATTAATCCCAATACTGATGATTCAGACTTCTGCAGAAAACTCAGAAAACTCACATGGACATGTCGTTTGATGGTCGCTTCTTCTGAGCCGAGATGTCCTATGAGACTTTCTGTGCGGAGTTGCTCAAGTTACTCGGCCTCAGCTGTCGGTTCACGCACGCAGATTTGTGGTTTGCCATGGTTGGCGAAGCAATGCATAAGACAAACAGTCTGCCAGCCGGTGGACTTCTCAGGATGAACAAGGTGCTGGATGATGACAAGAATCTGCTCGTGGATCAGTTGCCGTGCTACCACGCTCTGAAGCGACTGGTCTCAAGCCCACTATAACTTGTTAATCTCTGTTAAGGGGCCAATAGCGTGTTTAATGGGCTTTGGGGTGTGAATTCAGCATGTCGTCATGATGCTCGGCTCGACCTGGCAACCTTTGGAAAACAATCGCAGGACGCGAATGTATTCGGTCCTGAACGAGACAACGAATTTTGTTCTGAAGACCATTTCGAGCCACGGCGGCATTGACTTGAGCTGCGCTTGGGAGAGTGTCAGCATGCTGATTGAGGCGGGATCAGGAGGGACTGCACGACTTGGCGGTTAAGAAGAAGCTGACTGAGCCAATGGTCCTTGATGCTTGGCCGCCGATTTGGCGTTGCACACTTTTTAACAGTGTTTTCGCTGCAGGCATGCCGTAATGAGGTGTTTCCCAGGCATGATTCTGTTGTTCGCTCACACATGACAATGGAAGAATCCAACTCCAGCCAAGGGAATGCTGGTAGATGTCCGACTCTCAGACATGTGCGTGAGCGCGGAAGAGCAACAGATCTTCTGTGTGGGTCCAGATGTCTTGGCCTGCTTCGTCTGGTTCGTCTTTCTTATCCGACAGCAGTTGGTCTGCAATGTCTACATCTCGGGTGTTTCGTCTTGCCACGATCTGTGAGGATATGAATCGACAACGATCCGATCCGGTGTTCAAGGACATTCGTGGGGCCAATCTTGGGCTATCATGGCACATGTTCATGCGCCCAACCCTGAGCGGCCCTAAGCCCCGCATCCCGTACTGTCAGAACCGTCCTGGAGAGTGGCCCCTAATGCCGGACAGCCGACGCAGCGTCGCTGGCATCAAGCTTTAGCTGCATCTGCGTGATAGCCGGGGTCTGCGTACGAAGGTGTGGTTCATGCGACATGAAGTCCTTCGTGAAGACCAGTAATTGAATGCAAGGGCTTTGCTGCAGGCTCTTGCAGAGTGCATGGAACTGAGGCTGTTGCGACAATGATTCAGCCGCCTGGCATTGTTTCGGAAAAGAGGCAGCTTCAGAAGTTTCACCGTAAACCCTAAACCCTGGGTTTAGGGTTTAGGGTTTAGGGTTTAGGGTTTAGGGTTTAGGATTCCGGTGTCAAGGTCTCTTATGAAAGCTTCTTGGCTGCAGAGTTATGTGACGCCTACGTCCTTCGTCATCTTCTCTCGAAAACACGTCGGCTTTACCATGGCTGGAGTTTGCCAAGAGCGCTTCTGAGATGTCAGTGGGCCAAGGGTATGGGCAACCTTCAGCGTGATTGTCCAGCACTCGGTGATCCCACCGTTGGACTAGCATCAGTAGTTTCGGCCAACAGCATGGCTTAAACACCGGTGCACGGTCCAAGCATGAATAAGCAGTAATTAGCAAGTGTTCCACGAATGGTGGTAGGAGTGCAAGTTGCCCCATTTATCAGTCATGCGTGGCCTCACTGACGGGGGCACGCCTCGGATGCCGGCTAGAGGCCCCCTTGAGTTGAAACCATAAGGTGAGAAAAGTGGAATGCGTACTGCTCGGTGGGTGGGATCGATTGAGCGACCGAGGGTCTTTCAGCGCCCGGCTGTGACAGGACCACCTCGTGCCAGTCACAATCAATCTGGCAGATGAAGAGACGAGCACCGAACATTCGGTATGAGGTAACACAGCATCTTTACCCCATGTTCAGCGGTCGAAAAAAATGTTGCCACTACAGACACGAAACCGCAAGCTGGGAGAACGTGCGGCTCGGAAGTCGTGCTCTGTGTCCTCAGTGCTTTGTTCGCGTTTCAGAAGCTGCAGAGTCAGCCCCTGACAAAGCTCTCAACACGGACGGTGGGCACAACCAGTTTGTTTGAGTGGCATGTGCAGGGCGAGCCCGACAGGAACTCGTCGGACCGCTGCAGAAACGTCTAACAACCTGCATACTGCATACTGCAAGAGCAGTCTCGAAATGTTAAGCCTTGCGTGGCTTTCCACGAAATGAGGCGAAAAAGCCATGTGCACAGCTTAGTCGTGGTGTGATCAGGTGTGAAGTCGAAGTTCGCAAATTGAGATGCCGGCGGAGGATCATGGAGGCGGGTCCACAGATTCACAGCGGCTGAACCAGAAGAAAAGGGTGACCAAAGGGCTCTTATTCGGGAGCTCTAGCTCTGAGGAGTGTAGCTTGACATGCTTCCTCATGACTCTCGATGCGTTACTTGCATGCTCAGACTGCTGGAGCAGGATCAGCGATCAGCAGAGTCGACTTAGGCACGCTGTCCTGGTCTGGTTCCTGTGTGAGCTGATGGGGGGATCGAAATGATGCGTTGTCGGCTCTCGGACAGAGCCAGACTTCAGACAGTGGTTCACAAAGGAAGCCTTGAGAGTCGTAAGCATTGCCCCACCCAATCACACCATGGCGAAAGCTGGCTTTCAATCCTCGCAGTCATGTTTGCACACTTAATTGGCAGTGTTTCGGTGGCGTCATGCCTTGACCAGAACACTGACGACACCCAAAAGGGGATTTCCGAAATTTGGGGTGCCCTCGTTGCGGGTCCCTGTACCCCCATTTCGGAGAGAAACCCTTATCAACTGCCTGACAATGTCTGCATCAACCGGAACGGTGAATGATGAAAAAGCAGTTTCTGCGCTTGCACGTGACATATCTTTTGCACAGCTTGGTCCGAGTGGAGCTCTCTCGTGTCTCTCGCAGCCATGATGAGCTGCCTGGATTCATGGTAAGCAGCCATGACATGTTGAGGTAGCAGGTGTGTCAACCCAAGAAGCTTCTCTAAGCGAGGCCTGATTGTGCCACAGCCTCTATGTATATTAGAGCAAGCTCTGGGCTGCAGTTGCACAGTCCTGCAGACTGCAGTCCTGCTTATTCGTACGCCACGGCGACATGGGCCATGGCAGGCCACAGCCTCCAAAGCCCCGACGGTCGCGAAGTTGAAGGGGACGATGCGTAGAGCATCGTAGTGCTGTAGGCGCTGGACCTGGCTCCTCACGCTCCTTGTCTTCGCACTCTCACTTTCACTCAGACCACGTGCCTGGCAAGGCGGGGGGGAAGTTGGGACCCAGTTTTGGAGCTTCAGGAAAACTCGGGGGAAAACCTCAGCAGCTGAAAGGCCCATCGCTGTTGCCACGGCTTCGACTTCAGCGGCTGCCATGCAGAGCGCAGGCTGCCCCTCACGACACCGCCCTTCAAAGCCCTCAGCCATGTAAGGAATCATGGGAGCCTCTTTTGGCATCTTTTGGCGTTGGAAGGGCAGTCAGGCAAGTTCTGAACCAGGGTTCCCGTACGGGTAGCTTTCGATAGGAGGGTCCTCTTGCAGGTAGCTTGTAGGGTTCCTTATCAACTTCTCAACCCCTCCAAATACAGACCCTGATGTGGAGCAGCTCGTATGCGGTCTTGCCTTCAGGGTGCCGCGAAGTCTGATGCGCTGCGTCCCTGGATTCCAGCCGTTGAAGTGCCATTGCAAGCTTGCTTGGCTGTGGAAGGTTTTTGCCTGATCTTGCCGCAAGTTACGCTCGCTCTTTTGACTCTTTCGACATGTGTAGCAGCCGCTTCAACATCTGTTGAAGACATGGGGGTTTACGAAAGTAGGGGACCCCTAAATAGTCCCCCAAAGAGTAGGATCCCCTTATCATAAGGACCCCACTAAGGTACCCCTCCCCCCCTAATATCGTAAACCCCCATGTGTTCGGAGTCTTGTGCAGTTCCTGTGGTCGTGCCCTAAACCCTAAACCCTCAGCCCTCAACCCTAAACCCTAAACCCTAAACCCTAAACCCTAAACCCTAGACCCTAGACCCTAGACCCTAGACCCGAGACCCTAAACCCTGAACCCTGAACCCTAAACCCTAAACCCTAAACCCTAAACCTTAAACCCTAAACCCTAAACCCTAAACCCTAAACCCTCAACCCTAAACAAACCCGAAACCCTAATATAATCCCTGTGAACGACCAAGGTCTTGGGAGCCCGCGGACAAGGTCTACTCCAACGCGATTCGAGCACTGTGATGATCCAAGTGCGACTGCTTGCCACGTGTAGAGTCTTGGGGCTTCTAAAGCCAAAACCCTAAACCCTAAACCCGAAACCCTAAACCCTGCACCCTAAATCCCTAAGCCCTAAACTCTAAGCCCCTAAAAACCCCTAAAACCTCAAAAACCGTAAACCCCTAAGCCCCTAAACCCTAAATAACCCCATTGAACCCTGAAAATGTCAGGCCAGGAAGCGCCACAGCATATCGAAAGGTGCTGCCATTGGGCAAGGCAGGGGCGCCCGCCATTCCCAACCCTTTTTGGGGGGATTTAGGGTTTAGGGTTTAGGGTTTAGGGTTTAGGGGATTGTGTAGGGTACCTAGATTCCCGGCTTTAGTACACAGAACCAGTAAGCTGCTTGCTGCGATGCTTGAGGACTGCTTGTGGGGACAGCTTGCGGAGCTCAGGCGGTGCTTCGAAAGCGGGCAAAGGTTGTTGGGATCCCAGGCTACGCCAGCCCGGTTCTTGTGCACGTCCAGCAGAGAATGAGGTGAAAGAGGAGCGCATTGCGAGGGAGAAGTCCCAGAATGTGGCAGAGGAGCTGGCAAAGAGCTCATCTTGGATCTTGCAGCCCTTCAGCCCTCAAGCTTTTGTGGTGCTTGCGACGGCCTTTGTTTCCTAGGTTTCGGTGATGCGTGGGCCCAACTTACCTGGCCGCAAGCTTAGCAACACATGCCACCAGTGGCCTGCCATCGATGTCATAGCAGTAGTATGTCAAAGTACATAAGAGTATCTAACCGCATAAAGGGGCATATGATACTATATGCTAACATGCAATGAGATGCACTATTGCACAGTAAAAACTAATTTGTAATAGCACAGAATAGTATAATGATGTGTGACAACATATAAGGACATACTGTAACATGTGAACATGCATTGTACATGTTAATGATGTATAGCAATATATACGAGTATATAGTAAAAGGCAATATTGTATAGCAATATGTAATAGTACTTATTCATAGATCACATATCTAACGTATGCAATGACATATACAACATTGACGAATGTGCAAAAACAACAATCTAGAACTATGTATAATATACATATACACATATACAGCTACATGTACATAGCTAGAGCTAACTATATAGCTACATGAATAGATGCAGCAACAACAGATTACGCATATATGTAGATAGTTGTTTATGGTTGTATACAAGAGCTTTTACCAGCATGAAAATAGCATATTTATATCTACATACGAAAAATATTTGGTTGCATATATACATATACATATATATACTACCCCCCCCCCATTCACCTATGCGTTTTTGGTGTTTTCGGAATTGCTGGTGAGCATGAGGCATCTGAGACCCCGTTTTGGCGATGGTGTATATATATATATATGTAAGCTACCCCCCCCCCCCCCCCCAGCGACCTACCCTTTTCAGGCCTTTTGTTTAAAAAAAGACCACGAAGGCTATGTAAGAAACATTTTGTAGTGTATATATATATGTATCTATATATATATATAGAGGTAAGTATATACTGATATATGCTGACCTAGAATGATTTACAGTAACATACAATGATGATATGGATCATCTTCTGAATATGGCAATGGAAAGCAATAGTTTTTGCATTACATGGTGTAGTAGAACAACGGCCCATTGTCAAACAAATAGCCTATGTACATATATGTATATATATAGATATATATTTATTACAAACATCGCTCGTAGCATGTTTCTTTTGTGAATGCCATGAAAATATTGCAATCGTACGCCCAGGCAGGACCTTCAAGGGAGGATTTCTGACGGCACCCCACCTTGGGACCCCATCGCGGCTCATCGTTCTGGAGGCGATGCCTTGCTGCCAAGATTTATGAGCATTGTTGTTCTTATTCTGCCTATTCTTATGAATCTTCCTATGACCGCATTCTTGTTCTTATTGTGCCTATTCTTAAGAATCTTCTTGTGAGCATTCAATGAACCCTAAACCCTAAACCATAAACCCTAAACCCTGAACCCTGAACCCTGAACCCTAAACCCTAAACCTTAAACCTTAAACCCTAAACCCTAAACCCTAAACCCTAAAACCCTAAACCCTGAACCCTAAACCCTATTCAGGATCCACCAGCCGGTGTGGAGGCGCTCTCCGAGACCGAGCGGGTCGCTCTGAGACAATTGGATTCTCTAGTGGCCGCTGCTAATCATAGGGAAAATAGGAATTAGATATATATGCCACCCCCCCCCCATGGACCTACCAATTTCCTTTGTTTTGCTGGTGTGTGTTTGGCATGTGTCCGAATTTTGTTGGTGTGTGTGTGGCATGTGTCTGAGCCAGATGCCCCGGGCAGAGAGATGACTTGGGAATTTAAGGAATTTAAAGAATTTAAAGAGGCCTAAATTCTTTAAATTCCTTAAATTCCTAAATTAGCCCTAATTTAGGAATTTAAGGAATTTAAGGAATTTAAGGAATTTAAGGAATTTAAGGAATTTAAGGAATTTAAAAAATTTCAATTTACGGCCCAGAACAAATTTAATTTACTTTAGGAATTTAAGGAATTTAAAGAATTTAAAGAGGCCTAAATTCTTTAAATTCCTTAAATTCCTAAATTAGCCCTAATTTAGGAATTTAAGGAATTTAAGGAATTTAAGGAATTTAAGGAATTTAAGGACTTTAAAAAATTTCAATTTACGGCCCAGAACCAATTTAATTTAATTTAGGAATTTAAGGAATTTAAAGAATTTAAAGAGGCCTAAATTCTTTAAATTCCTTAAGCTCCTAAATTCAATGAAATTGGCTCTGGGCCGTAAATTGAAATTTTTTAAATTCCTTAAATTCCTTAAATTCCTTAAATTCCTTAAATTCCTCAAATTCCTTAAATTCCTTAAATTCCTTAAATTCCTTAAATTCCTTAAATTCCTTAAATAGGGCTAATTTAGGAATTTAAGGAATTTAAAGAATTTAGGCCTCTTGAAATTCTTTAAATTCCTTCAATTCCAAAATTAATCCCTAATTTAGGAATTTAAGGAATTTTAGGAATTTAAGGAATTTATAAAATTTAAAATTAGGGCCCAGAACCAATTTAATTCAATTTAGGAAATTAAGGAATTTAAAGAATTTAAAGAATTTAAAGAGGCCTAAATTCTTTAAATTCCTTAAATTCCTAAATTAGCCCTAATTTAGGAATTTAAGGAATTTAAAAAATTTAAAGAGGCCGAAATTCTTTAAATTCCTTAAATTCCTATATTAAATTAAATTGGTTCTGGGCCGTAATTTAAAATTTTATAAACTCCTTAAATTCCTTAAATTCCTCAAATTCCTAAATTAGGGCTAATTTAGGAATTTAAGGAATTTAAAGAATTTAAAGAGGCCTAATTCTTTAAATTCCTGAAATTCCTAAATTAGCCCTAATTTAGGAATTTAAGGAATTTAAGGAATTTAAGGAATTTAAGGAATTTAAAAAATTTCAATTTACGGCCCAGAACCAATTTAATTTAATTTAGGAATTTAAGGAATTTAAAGAATTTAAAGAGGCCTAAATTCTTTAAATTCCTTAAATTCCTAAATTAGCCCTAATTTAGGAATTTAAGGAATTTTAGGAATTCAAGGAATTTATAAAATTTAAAATTAGGGCCCAGAACCAATTTAATTCAATTTAGGAATTTAAGGAATTTAAAAGCAGAAAGTGCGCGCATGACGGCTCTGCAGGATTCCATTTTTTTGTGGATCGATGAAGTCTCCGAAACCTACATGGCGGCTCAGTGAGATCGATTGGCCTTGGGTACCAAAAGGTGGCACATGCAGATCACATGGTGTGCGACATTATATATGACTATGGCTCTAGATCAAGAAAATTTATATAAAACATGGGTAGGGGTTCAAAAACTTGGGTAAAACCAATGTTTTGGAGAGGCCACCTTCAAAAACATTGGTAAAACCAATGTTTTGGAGAGGCCACCTTCAAAAAACATCGGCACAACCAATGTTTTTGGAGCCCCTGCTCAGGAAACATCGCAAAAACCAATAAAAACCATAAAAACCATGAATTTTCAAACTACTCGGAGACCCCAAGCCTATAGTTTGGAAAATCATGGTTTTTATGGTTTTTATTGGTTTTTGCGATGTTTCGTGAGCATGGGCTCAAAAAACATCGGTAAAACCAATGGTTTTTGAAGGTAGGGGTTCAAAAACATTGGTAAAACCAATGTTTTGGAGAGGCCACCTTCAAAAAACATCGGTAAAACCAATGTTTTTGGAGCCCCTGCTCAGGAAACATAGCAAAAACCAATAAAAAACCATAAAAACCATGAATTTTCAAACTACTCGGAGACCCAAGCCTATAGTTTGGAAAATCATGGTTTTTATGGTTTTTATTGGTTTTTGCGATGTTTCGTGAGCATGGGCTCAAAAAAACATCGGTAAAACCAATGTTTTTTGAAGGTAGGGGTTCAAAAACATTGGTAAAGCCAATGTTTTGGAGAAGCTTGGGTCTCCGAGTAGTTTGGAAAATCATGGTTTTTATGGTTTTTATTGGTTTTTGCGATGTTTCGTGAGCATGGGCTCCAAAAACATCGGTAAAACCAATGTTTTTTGAAGGTAGGGGTTCAAAAACATTGGTAAAACCAATGTTTTGGAGAAGCCACCCTTTTTTGAAACATCGGTCAAGCCGAGGTTTCAAAAAAAAGGTAGGTCCATGGGGGGGGGGGGTACCATATATATATATATATATACATATACATATATATATATATATAAATATAATAGACATGTATATATACATACAAAGTCATATCACACAGCAAGTGAACGAATCTAAACATAATGTTTTTGGAAGTAAATACATGTGTATATCTACACAAAGTTACACACGCTAAACCGCGAACCGCCTCGAGAGCCCCATAGTCGCTGCGGTTGGAAGAAAGAGGGGCGAGTTCGCTTTGGTGCTCTGAGGTGGAGCAAGGGCGGCTGGAGCCCTTCAGCTGCAAGGCCTTTTGGGGGGTTTGGGGGTTTGGGGTTGAGGGACTTTAGGGTTTCGGGTTTGGCAATTTGGGGTTTGGGGTTATGGGTTTAGGGTTTCTGGTCCAACTTTTTTCGGAGCATTGTCGTACCTGTATAGGCACCTTTGCGATCGAATCTTTGATAATGGGACCAGGGACCCCTACAGGTCGACGCTGCAACATTATTGTAAACGCTTGCGCGCGCCGCCTCGGCAGCCGGGCCGGCCCCAGGACAGGAAAGGAGGAAAGAGGGTTTCGCAAAAAAGGGGAGGAAGGGCAGAGGGGTTAAAGGGGGGGGGGGGGGGGGGGGGTGGGGGGGGGGGGGGGGGGGGTGGGTTTTGAGGCACTCCCCTGTGGGAGCCAAAGACAGGCGGCAGCATCGGTTTGCAGCTCCTCCAAGCGATTGGGGGGGGCCCCACAGGGCGGGGGGGGGGGGGGGGGGGGTGGCGTCAGAAAATTTTGCATGGGGGGAAGGGTTGGGTTAGGGGGAAGGAGGCCCGATCCGGGTCTGCTTGTTCCAGACGCTTCTCGGCAGGAAGCCGAGGCGAATAGTCATTTCTGGAAACCCCGCAACACATGCATCTTGTGTCGCCAGGCGGTGTTCAATCCCAAGCTGCGTCCAGCATCCAACCTGACCTCCGTGTACTGGGAGCGAGATCCCAGCATTCCAGGCGGCGTAAGGGGCTTGCTTAGGAAGACGGTTCATTCAGTTGAATCAGTCTGCTTAGGCGTGCTGTGTACAGAGTTGAGTGATTTGCGACAGGCATAGGTATGACAGCCAATCAAAACAGATCAGAGGAGAATTTGTGGATGCAAGAACCTGCAATAGCATTAGGCATGACTTGTTTCTGGCTGTGAAGTGAAGCTGGGGTTGTGGTCGCTCTTTTCCCTCTGCTGTGCCTTCTCGCCCTATCCGTCCATTTTTGGCACGTGTCTAAAGTCTAGACCCTTGCAATGCGTGCTCGTGCGAGGTAAAGTGGTAGTGGTGGGCCTTCCGAGCTGTGCTTGGCAGGCTATCGGGCCCTCGTTGAGCGGTACCATGAAGTTCAAGTGACAGGCACAGAGCGAGTCTCAAGTTGTGGAGGCGACAAGGGTCGTAAGATGAGTTGGGGTCTTGTGACATATCCCAGACGGCCGCTGGAAATGTTGTTGCAGCTTCTGCTGTGCAGCTTTCTCAGCCACTGCTACGCATCTCTTCAGCCATGAATCGATCTGTGCAACTTTCTGTTCACGGGTTGAAAACTCTGTCGGCGAAGGCTTCGACCCCTCCGGGGCAGAAGTGGACTTTGTGGCCCAGGGCTGGCAAGCCCGGCTCTTTCAGCAGGCTAGTGGTGTGCTGGTGTTTCGGGTGGTGGACTCCACAGACATGCACAGGTTGTCCCTGAAGTTTTTTTGCTAGGCAGCAGATGTGCTGGAGGGCAAGCTTTTCATCGACCGCTGCATCATGAGATCCCTGTGTCATCTGGATGCGCGCCGGCGCCTCGTGACACCTGTGCCACTTTGATTCAGGGGCCGCAGTCCGAGGACCAACTGAGAAAGCTGAAGCTCACCCATACTACATCTGCGTTTGCCTCCATAGCCATCTGTCGTCGGTACATCCGCTGCAAGTTGCTTGTTGAGGGTGACCAACCGCCGCCATCCTGCAGTCCGTAAGGCAATGATCCGCTGCCGACGGACTGCCCACCACTTGGCATCACGTCAACGCGTGGCAGGCCAGCAATGCCCACCATGCTGACTCGAGACTCCAAGACATGTCCTGCAAAAGGCTTGGCTTGCCACTGCTTGTCATGTTTTTAAACCCTCTCTCTGTCTCTCGCTCGCTTGCTCGCTCTCGCTTTCGCTCGCTCTCGCGATCTCGCTCTCGCTCGCTCTCGCTCTCTCTCGCTCTCTCTCGCTCTCTCTCGCTCTCTCTCGCTCTCTCGCTCTCTCGCTCTCTCGCTCTCTCTCCCTCTCTCTCTTCTTGCTCTCGCATCTATATGGGAGTTCTGTAAATTTTGGTCCCTGTCACTCAAACAATGAGGAAGCAATAAGGGACCCTAATTTAGAGAACTACCCATATGGGGTTTCCGGCCTTTTCATGTTCTTTCACTTTTCCCGACATCACGCCTGCCATGCTTTGAAGCTGTGCCCGCCACTCAACTTGAACAAAGATTCGGCTCGTTCAAGGTCTAGATATACGGACCATGTGTTGGGCTTGTTCCTTTTTTGTGTGTGGGTCAGTTGATACGGGGTTCCATAATAAGATGCCTATCATGTGGAGTTGGATTCAGAAGAACCTTCAAACGGATGTTGTTCGGGTGCGCATGGCAATCCAATCTATTGTCGCTGGGCGAGGCCGCCTCTGACAGAAGCCGAAGAAGAGGCCGCATTAGCTGGTGGCAGCCGCGGTTTGCTTGCGGCGGGCTCAAGGGGCTGTGACGAAGCACGACGACAACAGAAGCAACGAAGTAGCGTGGATATGGACCTGCAAATTCGACGTGCGTCAGAGCGCGAAAGCGCGAGAGCGAGCCAGCAAGCGAGAGAGGGCGAGAGAGAGAGAGAGAGAGAGAGAGAGAGAGAGAGAGCGAGAAAGCGAGAAGGGGCGGCCCTGCGGGGGCCTTGCGCACAGGAAGGAATGGAGGAAGAGCGGAAGAGGGAGACAAACAAACTGCTGAGGGATTGCTGCCCAGCTTTATTCAGCCGACTTCGCTGCTCGTCGGCAGCTTGATCCTTCGCAGGGGTCTCAGAATCAGAGAAGCAACACCAACACCAATTTCATGAGCAGTTAATTCTTAATTCTGAGATACCAATACCAATACCAATACCAATACCAATACCAATACCAAGACCAAGACCAAGACCAAGACCAAGACCAATACCAATACCTCAGAATCAGAGCCCGCTGTGGTGTCCTTTTGAGCTCCAAGCTTTGCTGCGGGCTTTCCGTGAGCCGTGCGGAGGCCTGAAAGCCAAGGAAGTTCGGGACTTCTCCGATCCAGAGGTCGTGGCATGATCCCTTCGTTGGAGGGTTTAGGGTTTAGGGTTTAGGGTTTGGGGTTTCAGGTTTGGGGTTTAGGGTTTAGGGTTTAGGGTTTAGGTTTAGGGTTTAGGGTTTAGGGCATGTGGTGAACAAGTGTGGCCCTGCTGTCTCCGAAATTACAAGAGGAGCCACCACTTCGGAAGCCCCATATGACCTGACGCAGGTTGCAGCGGCAGCCAAAGAGCTTCGCGATGCACGCTGCTGAGATGTTGGGCTCGGCCCATGTAGCGTTAAACCCTAAACCCAAAACCCTAAACCCTAAACCCTAAACCCCTTGCACTCGCCATAACATGTTCCTGTGCCGATTGTTGAGGCACTGAATGCCGGTGACAATCCCTTGGGTGTTGCAGCACCCCAGTCTGAGACTCAGCAGTTCTGAGGACCGAGCGTTGAAGCATTTCCAAAGCAAAGCCCACAAACCTGTCCCGGTTCTTGGCTTCGAACATGGTGAAGACCCTGAACCCTCAACCCTAAACCCCTAGACCCCAAACCGAAACCCTAGACCTCCACTTAGGTGTATTGTTGTTGCTGATGCAAGGTAGCATGCATGGACCTTGCCTGGTCTGAATCATGGGGGGTGGACTGTGGTCTCAGCCCTATGGTGCCCTGTGATTTATGGTTCCAGGTTCGGCAAGAACATCCGAGTGGCGGTGCTCTCAGTTGCTGAGGGCTTTCTTGGGGTTTTCTGTGAATGTTTCTTCCCAGAAGTATCGCTACCCTGGCCAAGACTGTTTGCAAGTGAAAGGAGGCAATACCAACCCACAACAGGCATATTCCAAGTACTGTGTCAGTACCACAGGCCGTGTAGGCGATGCGTGATTGCGAATGCTTGTTGGTGACCAAATGATAAGCTTACGGGCAAACAAATCGTACGAACGTTTTGCCACAAGACAATGTGTTAAGGGCATGCACGCATTCTGCAGTTGCCTACCGTTGCAGCAAGTCGCTAGAAAAGCACAGCCTCGTTGCACCACCCATTTGTCGAGTTGTATGCGCACCTGTTGCAACAACAATGCCAAAGACACGCGAAAGCTAGAGACAGACAGACGCCTTTGCAGGCTGTGGCCTGCATTCTCTCCGGTTTGCGGAGTGTCTTACCAATGGAGAGCCCACTCGTCGACTCGTGCAAAACCTGGAAGCAATAGCATAGTCTAGTAAGAAGTAGCGTAGAAAACATGTAGACATGGCATAACAGAAGTACAAGTAAAAGAACTCTGGTAGGAGACAGTGACCTCAAGTCGCAGACTTAAGCTCTGCGAAAGTGCGAAAGCGAAACGCACTTCCGCAAAGAAGTCACATCTAGATGCAGGTATTCCGCATGTCAATCATGTCAACTGGGTTTAGGGTTTAGGGTTTAGGGTTTAGTGTCTGGCTTTGTACCGGTCAGGTTAAGCCTCGAGGTAGCCGTCGATTATCGGCGGCAAGGAATAGGTTCTGCAGGTCAAACACCTCCGCCCGTGAGCAACTTCCGTTTTGTTGTTAGGTAGGGTTTAGGGTTTAGGGTTTGGGGTTTAGGGTTTAGGCTTTCGAGCTTAGAGTCAAGAGAGGTCAGTTATGGGCTGGGCTGGTGTGCTGAGATTGAGCAGTCGGTCTCCTGAATAGAAGGGTTTTAGGGTTTTAGGGTTTAGGGTTTAGGGTTTAGGAGCCTCTCGGCCCGAGCCTACACGTGGCGAGGTCGTTGGGGGAGGTAGAACCACCTCCTTTGCAAATCGGGCCATGATTCGACTGCCGCTGATTTCTCTTTACTCGTTAAGGTCCTGCTTATGCCATTCAGAATCTACCGCATGCTTGGTTCAGCTGCGGCCTTTGGGGTGGTTGGTGCTACAGTTTCAAGGCTTTCTGCGTTCCGCGACGTGGCAGTTGCTACGACTCCGAGTACGAGGACGGCTATACTGGCTATACACGGTGTGTGGAGTGGTTTTGAAGCGGGCCAGCCCTATGCTGCACAGCTGCACCTACAGTTTCCGAACCTTGATTTTGCTGTGGCTTACGCACTTGCGGGCCCCAACCTGGCAGCTGATTCAAGACCATGTCCTTGCAGTGGGTCGGCGCTCTGCTCTTCCCCAGATGTCAACTGCTACGGCTTTCAAGACAGCAATTGCTCCAGCCTTGGAGGCAAGCATGTTCCCTCGGTTGTTGGTGACGCGGCGACGGCACGGCTTTCATGGCGGCATTTTGCTGCCGGTCAGCTACTTGCACTACCCGAAGGGGCAACTGTCAGGACCTGCAGGGCCGGGACCATGACGCGTGACATTTGCCGGAAGCAACCTGCGCATGTCTGCAGCCATGACGGCCTTTACAGCGCACACAACATACCCAATCGAGAATTTGTCGGCCAGATTTCGGAAAAAAACACATGAGGTCTTGATGCCAATGGCTACACTGTCCAGCTTCGTCCTGCCTGGTCCGATGAGCGAGGCTGCGCGATGCGGCTTAGCACTGTAGTGAACGGGCATGCGGATCTTGAGCGGTGTGACAGGTGTGTTTTCTGGTTTTCGCCCAACGCGGCCCAATGTTTGTTGCTGCCGAACACGTGGCAGTACCGTGAGTTAGGGGCCATTTGTGGCCCCACCCATGTCGAATGTCAGCTAGATGTCCACCGGGGCCTTCCGGCAAACGCCAATAAGGGTGGTTGCGCGATGCGGCCATTGCTTTGTAGAGCCTTGCTGTTCGCCGCGGATCGGACACAGGAGGCCCGGCGCTTGAGGCTGGCCCGGGTGCTCCTCACAACCCGCTAAAGGTTTAGGGTTTAGGGTTTGTACACTCCCCACCAGCATGACGCGGTCTCTCGTTGTGTTGCTTGTGGCGCAGGTGGCCATAGGCGAATCAGAAGAAGCAATCGAGCGCCTGTCCACCCGCGCCCGCATCAGCGAGGACAGGGGTGCTTGCTCTCGTTGCCCATCGTTGCGGCCGACCTGTGCCCCTAAACCCTAAACCCTAAACCCTAAACCCTCAACCCTAAACCCAAAGGAGCACCGACCCCTCAAGCCGACGGTGCTGGTGAATCCGGTTGTGACGCCCAAAGCAGGTGCACGATCAGCTGGGTAGGGACTGTTTCGAAGGGTCCTCTCTGCAATCCTTGAGCACCCGGTTCAACAAGCAGTTCATGGGCAAAACGCCGCAAATCGTGAAAACGCCCTAAACCCTCAACCCTCAACCCTCAACCCTCAACCCTCAACCCTCAACCCTCAACCCTCAACCCTCAACCCTCAACCCTCAACCCTCAACCCTCAACCCTAAACCCTTGTCTTGTCCAACAGGCAGCTCCGTGGCCTTCTTCTGGGAGCGGTGGGCCCGGCGACAGCTTGAAGCCTCCGACGCGGAGCTTCGGTGTTGCTTTTTGTGCTCTGCGGGTGATTCTCCCCTTTTGGTAGATGGGTTTAGTGTTTACGGTTTTGGGGCCCTCTTCGTACCCTGAATATATAAGGCTCCGTATGATAACAGAAACCCCAAAAGGGATCAGATTATAGAGAACCATTCATGTAGAGCCAGCGTGCCGCTCCGTTTTGAAGCTGCTGAAGGCCATTGACGAACCAGGCTGTGAAACAATGTCTTTGGACCTGTCCAGCAGTTGTCCCGGTCCGTTGCGTCGTTTGAGATTTGTGTGCCGAGCAAGCCCAAAGCGCTTGCAGCCTTTTGCAGCGAACTGAGCACGACATGCTGGACAGGCTGCTAGATATGACTGAGTCACTGATCACGCAGCTCCAACAGCCCTCGATGATAAGCCACTCTTTTCCAACTTGGCATCCCTTGTGTGGATCCCTTTTAGGATAAAGAGGGGCTAGGTTAGAACAATCCCCGATTGGTGCGGGGACCTTTCACGACTCTTGATGGCCCCGCGCCGCCTATTTGTGACACTGCTCGCGGCCATCGGCGTGCGGAAAGCATTTGCAGCCTGGCAGCGACTGAGGTTTAGGGTTTAGGGTTTAGGGTTCTCCTGTTTGGAAGAATGTCCTGCCTGTTTACTTGCTTGTCCGAGCTGCCTGCGCTTCCGCGTTGCCGGTGCATGGTCGTCCCCAGCGTCGCAGGAAGTTTCTTGATGGTAGGGGTATGTCAGGGCACTTTATGATCCACCGTGGCGGTCGTAGTATATGTGACTCTGGTTGGCAGTTTCGGGGGAGAAGCGCATGAAAATGATATGCTTTAACGAGCTCGCGCTGACATGCGACAGAATGGTGTCGCAGAAGGTGCTGCGGAAGCATAGGCTGTCACTCTACTAAGTTTGCGCCCTAAACCCTAAACCCCAAACCCAGACCCTAGACCCTAGACCCTAAACCCTAAACCCTACTAAATCCAAAACGCGAAACCGTAAACCCTAAACCCGAAGCCTCAAAGCGACTCCCATTAGCCTGCTCACGGTTCACATGAGTGAATGCTGAGGTCGGCCCACGAGGCCCGGGCCCTGGGCAGATGCTGAACAGATTTGGGGGCTAGGGGTTTTGGGTTTAGGGTTAGGGTTTAGGGTTCAGTGGGTTTACGATATACTACTTTTTTGCCTAACCATAGATATTCTTATTGCCATGGAACTATTTTTGTAGTTTCTTGGAAAAATAGATATCGTCACTACTGTTTTTTGCCGTTCTGTCTTTTTGTCGACATCTTGAGAGGGATTTTCTCTGGGAATCTTGATGGATCCGGTACCACCCTGGGTACACCGGTCTCAGGCGCTGTGACGCCAACTCCATCTCGGATTCCATCCCGCATGTCTCGCTGCTTCTTCGGCGGGGGTAGTGGCGACTCCCCGGCTCCTCGACCGCAGTCAACAAAGGATACCAAGGTGTTTGAGGGTTTAGGGTTTGAGGGTTTTAGGGTTTTAGGGTTTAGGGTTTAGGGTTTGATTACACATTCTGCGATCCCGTCATCACCTGCATGCTCCAGCTGCGTGTCGGCCGTGCCGGGCAATCCACATCTTAGGTGGTGGAAGATAATGCTCCTTCCTGGTCAGACCTTCAGGCCTCACTTGAAGAGCAGTCCACACGGGAGGAGAAGGAGCTTCTATGCTTGAATAATCCGTCGTTTTCGCGTGCCAGCACCATGAGTTTGCACTTCATGGTTGTGGCGCCTGCTACTGTTGGTAAGGGACACGAAGCCGGTTTGTTTCCATCAGCGCCCTTTTGTGTGCTCGCAGGAATTCCGACCGAAGCTGTCAAAAGGACAGGTGCCGAATGCAATGGCCAACCTCCGCGTCTTCGACAAGGCCGGCCTTTGATCGCCTTCGTGGCTTGATGGTCTACCTTTATATACTTAAGAGTGCTCTATGATTTACGATTAGGTGTATACATACACATATATAGAATGTACACACACACACACATGTGGAACCTCCTCCTCCTCCGTTGCACGCCAGCCATTTCGCTTCATCCTTGCCTTGTGATGATGGCCCGTGGGACTATGCTTTCGTAATGTAACCCTAAACCCTAAACCCTAAACCCTAAACCCTAAACCCTAAACCGTAAACCCTGAATGTAACCTTGAAACCGCCCCCAAAGTTTGCAGGATTCAGAGTCGGCAAAGCGCGTGACTCTCTACCGGGATTCTGCGTCCTGGTGCCCATACTGCCACAAGGTGCTCGCTTGGTTGGCACATGTGTGTTTGTGTGACATGAATGACCTGATGCTTATATAGCAATCGGAACTCATCGCCTCAAAAGAAGTAACCATGATTCGACAAGTGCAGCCGACGTTGAATAGAGGAGGGAGGCGCCTCCAAGTAGAGCGAAAGGGGAGATGGCGGGATGCCCTGTTGCCTTCCCTTTGGGTTGTACAATTTAGTGGTAGGTAACGCTCGTTTCGGAACACCGCAGGATGCTTCGACCCAGGCTTATGGGCTTCCGAGATGCCACACGACGCTGCTACCATCAGTGGCTCTAACTCTCATGCTACCTACAAGGTGCCAAAAGTAGTGCCATGAAGCCTCATCATAAATGGGCAGGTACCGAATGGCGGGGGTGGGTGTTTGAGAAGCGGCTAAACTACTGAATATCAGCCCATGGAAGCAGGTGTGGATGTTGCTTGAAGAGAAGCAGATTCCGTACAATGTCAAGAGAGCCGCTGTCTTGCAAGAGTGCCGGCGGCCATCTGCTAGGCATGTGGGATGCTGCGGAGCTTAGGTCAACATGGCCTGCTATGGGAACAAGCCACCGGACTTCCTCGCACTTCAGCCGAACGGCCAGATCCCGGTGGCCGTGATCGACGGCGAAGTGCTGAGGCCTGCCACGATGTGATCGGAGATTTTTTTTTTTTGGGGGGGGGGGGGGAATTTCCGGGACAGTTCACGTAGAACAGTGGTGGTTCTGAAGTTCCTTTCTTGCGGTTTGCGTGTCCCAGAAACTCGCCATTCATCTGGAAGCAGTGCCGTTTCTGATGGCCATCCTTGGTGAAGAAAACACCGGACATCAGCTTGAGATATGACTGTTTGCTCCCAACCTCAATGCCACCCTGGAAACGAGTGCCCCGGAACAAAGGAGAAGCGAACCAGTTCACTTCAGACTCTGCAAGCAACCAAAAGCTGCCATTGCTGCCATGGAGGTCATCTGATGCCATCATCGACCGTGGCTGAGCTTTGTCGGATTGTCTTGATGGCGGAGAGTCTCCCATAGTCCCTAAATCCTAAACCCTAAACTTTAAATCCTTCAACCCTGAACCCCTGAACCCTAAAACCCTAAACCTGTGGAAGAGCATGTGCCAGGTATTCTGCACATGAAAGGGCAGAGCTCGGAGGTTGATCAGGACGGGACCTTCGAGTTTTTTGAGCACGTGAAAGAATGGTTTAGGGTTTAGGGTTTAGGGTTTAAGGTTGAGGAGGAATTGGATGGTGGTGGCCTGCTCGGGCCCTTGGCCTGAAGGCCTTGGACCCCTTCGACGATCCGCAGAGCACGCAGCTCGGCACGCTTCTTGGAGTCTGCGGTCCCTTGCTCCTTCCCCAGGTAGGAACTTGGGATGTTCCCCTGTATACTAAGAGGGATTATCGTACTCTCTAATATAACCCTGACTAGGGACTGTTAGTATAAGGGGGAACATCCCAAGTAGGAACCACAATCCCAGGGGTGGTTCTTGAGCAAAAGCAGAGACCTCTCACTCTTCATTTAGCAAGGAAGGCAGGACATCCCCTCTAGTGCACCTCTCCTCTGGAAACCTCAAGACATGGCCTTTTGAAGCATCCTGGAGTGCTAAGAGTGCCAAATCCTAGGTAGGATAAGGGGTTGCCCCTTAAAGGGGAACCCTTCTTAGCAAGGGTCCCCCCTAATCCTATCCTATTACTTCAAGGAACCTGCTTCGCCTGGAGCGCCAGCTCTTTTCGGCCTGGCTGGGTTGGCTTTGTCGTGGTGGCGGGCGGCCGGACTTCGAGCGCACCCTGCAGAAGGCGCGAGGGCTCTTCGTGCGCGCGCCATACCCTGAGGGTCCTGAAAGCTGGCAGCTTCGTAGCCAGAAGAGATGGCATGTCTCATGTGGCACAATTCAGGGGACGAGCTTTCATGAAGCCTCTGTTTAGTGGACTAGCCATTGAAGGCAGCGCATTCCACACGCATTGCGTGAGGTAGAAGACACGTTGAGTTCGAGAAGCAGTGGCCCGTACTTTCTTGGCGACCGCTTCTCGCTGGTCGACATCATGTGCCTCTCTCAAGATCCAGCTTCTCCTCTGCCGATGTCTTTTTTAGCGGATGTCTCTTTTCCAGCCGTGATCCAATGTTATGCACCTTATGGCAATGCAGGCAGCAGGCCCTCGTCAAAAATCAAGCACAGTCTAGCTGGAGCCATGTCACTTTTGTGATGCGGTCGAGGGGCGTCTGTCGCTGTACTCTCGCACGCAGCCAGGGAATCCGTTGCCCTGGCTGGCTACGTGAAAGAATCCGCATGAATCCGCAATCCAAGCAGGGCCTGGGCTTGGGGGGCCCTGGCACTGTAATCTCCAAACGCCCCTTGTAGCAACAAGCAAACTTCTGTGGTCTCGAAAGGGTTTAAAGAGCCAGCTTTGGTACCGTTCGCCGGGTAATGCCAAGGATTAGCAGACAGGAAAAGGCCGGCAGGCTCCGGGAGGCTTTAGGAGGATGTTGGGACGAACTGGAAGAGAGCATGGCATGGAAGAGTCCCAAAACGTCTTATTTGCGCATCCAGTATTTCAGAACTTCTGAGTAAACAGCAAGATTCGATAAGCTCCGTGCACTGTCTTGCACAGCCAACATGTTGGCGAGGTATGCTCCCTTCATTGAGCGAGCTGTTGCTTCGCTGGCATACTTCAAGGCCCACAGTACGGTTTCGCAACAGTTTGATATAAGTTCTTTGGGGGTGAGCTGTTCGGTCGCCACTATCAGTATCAGTGTGACATGCAGCCGACGGAAGAAGAAGAAGAACTAAGAAGAAGAAGAAGAAGAGAAGAAGAGGAGCGTCCGAGGTGGGAGTCAGGAGTGCACAGGTCAGGCGGGGCGGGATGATAAGTGTCACATATCTCGGCTAGCTCGGTCTGCAGGTGCCCTATGCTCCCACAGCGCACGTACTGACGGGTGCGCTCTCGTGCTCGGTCGAGGGATGTCTCGGCCGGCGAAGAGAGTGAGACAGAGCGAGGGAGGGGAGGGAGGGAGGGAGAGAAAGTGGAGAACATGGATAAAGTGTAATGATGCATGAGGGACTTGGAAGTATGAAGCCATCTGTAGCGTCACAGCTGCTGGCGGCCAATAGTTCTCAAGGCATCACCCAGTCAACTCATTGCCTAAACCCTAAACCGTAAACCCTAAACCCTAAACCCCAAACCCTAAACCCTAAACCCTAAACCGAAGGGCTACAACATTCGGGACGCGGCGGCCTTTCCAGCAATCAGCGCCTGGTTTGATGCCATGGAATCGTGGCTGAGCAGCACCGCATGGGTAAGAACTTGAAGGTGTCCTTTGCTTGGCATGAGTATGGCTTTTCATGTTGACCTTTGCAGCATCTGCCGGGCCTGCCCCCCTGTTGTTGGCAGAACAAATGCAGTAAGGCGGGCCAGCTACAGGGCCGCCAAGTCCGACTACTACACCCACGCGCATGACCACCTCTACGGTGTTTGACGAGTTTTTTTTGCCCAGACTCAAGCTTGTGCTCATCTACTTGTCGCCCCTGTGCTTTTCTTGCTGCTCGATGCTCTCTTGACGTGTAGCTTTTGTGAGCAAAATGGTAAGAAGGATGGAAGACACGATGACGACATGATGCCCCCAAAGTTTCAGCAGTTGTTTCGCAGCTGCTCCCATGCCAGGACTTGCCTCCGCAACTGGGAGGCTGCAACGCAGAAAGTGGCGGCAAGGCCCAAGCCGTTTGATCTGCCCATGCCTTCCCCCTTGTCTTCCCCCTTTGCTTCACAAGATCTTGTGTTGACCTGCTCACAAAGCGGGTATGGGGCCTTGAGATATACTCCGGCATGCCATTGCAGTGACTGCTGAGCTTGCTGCTGTTTTATCGTTGCATCACATCATATATTTTTATTCAGTATATATAATGCAATGTCACGAAAGCTAGCTCCTTGGAGCTCGCGAGAGTTGTCGTTTACAAGAATTCTCTCTAGTGTTCAGCTGGGTCAAGAAGCGACTCCGACCCTTAAGTGGTCTGAAAATCAAAGAGATAAAGGGCTGTGGAGGGGGGGGGCCCCTTATAAGATTGACAAAATCAATCTTAAGGTGTCCCCCCCCCCCCCCCCCCTCCTTTCAGGGTCGCCTTAATTTTCTGGGCCCCCCCCAGGCTTCCCCCTCCGTCTTGGTCAGGCCCTGTTGTCGAGCTGTAAGGCCCCGGGATGAGCATTCGAATCCGCAGCTTCCGACAGCTCTTGACTGCTGCGTGTCCCATCATGTTTCGTTTTGCTTACACCGATTCGGCAGTCCCGTCCTGCTCGGCTGCGCTGCTGCGCCTGCGCTTCTCCTGCCTGACTCGAAAAAAGCTTGCTTGTCAGCCGCGTTTCTAGCTTTCGTGGCCCCGATCTCAAGTAGAATAGTTGTAGAATAGTTGTGCATTTATATATATATATATATGTATATATGTATGTATGTATGTATGTATGTATGTATGTATGTATGTATGTATGTATGTATGTATGTATGTATATTCTGTCATGGGTAGACAGCTCTCATCATCTGCGCTGCGGCTCGACGTGCACTTCCCGGACTCGGGTGGCTATATACCATATAGGTACATGGTATCTTATGTTCTTTGGTATGAGATTGTAGACATGACATTCTATTCCATGTGTCCATGGTGTGATATGGGACTTTGCACCTTGTTGAGGCAGCCCGCGAAGACATTGACGGCCGTGCCTGGAAGACCTTTGGCTTGTGCATCAGTATCTTACATCTGTCGCCTTTCTCCTTGTTTAGAGCTTTGAGAAGACTCTGTCGTTCGAATTGTGATTTCTTTGGCGTCTCCTCGCTTTCAGCGGCACGACCGTATTCGGGAATGTGTGTGTGTGTGTGTGTGTGTGTGTGTGTTTGTGTGTGTGTGTGCCCCAGCTGCGTCGTTCGGAGTCAAGGCTCCCTCTGGAGGCGGACGTCATTGAGCCCGAGTGGTCGTGGATTTCCTCGGCCGAGGTGCCCGGTCTCGCATCACGGTAGCTGGGAAGAGCTGGGAAGTCGTCATGGTTTGGCAACACCAACAGTTGGCTTCGCACAAGCTAAGGGGTTTAGGGTTTAAGGGGTTTAGGGTTTAGGGTTCAGGGTGCAGACACATCTTGTGTGCTTGGCTCCTTGATGCATCGAGGCTCGTCGCGAAGCAGCAGAGCGGTTGATCAACAACCACGAGGCAGAACATGGAGCACTGGGTGTATCGTGATCAGATGCGGGTTGCCGGATAGCCCTTGGGGTACCTATTTTGGAGTACCCGTTTTGGGATGCCTATTTCGGGGTGCCTATTTTGGGGTACCAGTTTTGGGGTGCCTCTTTCGGGGTGCCTAGAATCAGGATTAGCAGGTGCATATAAGGTGCCCTTGCATGAGGACATGCCCAGATGCCCTCACACGGTTGCTTGTGAAGGGGCCACAATAGATCAACCCTCAACCCTCAACCCTCAACCCTCAACCCTCAACCCTCAACCCTAAACCCTAAACCCTAAACCCTAAACCCTAAACCCTAAACCCTGAACCCTAAACCCTAAACCCTAAACCCTAAACCCTAAACCCTAAACCCGAAAGACTTCCTGGGAATCCCATGCCTTGAGCCTGCCTCTTCACAAGTGGCGAGCGGGAACCTGGGAAGCTGCATTTTGGAGAACATCACGGGTTTACCCCAAGAGACCGATCCAAACCCTGTCTCACAACTATATACTATAGACAAACTGTGCATAAATGTATATATATTTGCACATACATACATACATATATATATATATATGTATATACATATACATATATTTGTGTCTGTTACTTCTAGGCATTCTTTAGTTATCAGGAACCTGAAGACGTGCGGGGCTGAGAGGCTGTGGCTCGCTTTGCCTCGCGCGCGCGGTCTGGACCTGGCCTCGTGGCAGCATCGGGGGAACAGGGTTTAGGGTTTAGGGTTTAGGTTGTAGGGTTTGAGGTTTACGGTTTACGGTTTAGGGTTTAGGGCTCCCAGTTGAGATTCGGCCCTTCACTCTCTGCACGCCCTTATTTGGGGGTTTGCGAAAAGAGGGGACCCCCAACATAGATCCCGTAATAGTAGGATCCCCTTATAATAAGGACCTCAGTAGGGTACCCTAATTTCGAAAAACCCCCATTTTGTGCCGAGGATTTCCACCTGCATGGGCTGAGCTGTCCGACCCCAATGTGACTTAGCTAGAAGCATTCCTGTGTGCATTCGCACTTTGTCGTTGCTTTTGCGGCAGGCTGCTTTGTTGAAAAGGCCTGCCGCCGTACTCCGCTGTGTCGCAGGCGAAGCCCGCAGAGAAGTGGGTCTCCACCGTGGACCTGTCCCGACCTGAGCAGAATAGCTTGAGGCCACAGCTGCTATCAGTTCATATCATAGCAGTGTATGCTTACATTTCATATTGTCGTATTCTTATTTATCGTCTTAGCAGTTTTCTTATTTTACAGACATCGTTCTTATCTTGATGGTTATAAGGTCTTTGAACATATTGAAGATGTTGGATTTGTTTCGCTGGTGCACAGCCCTCAAAATTCATGTGCTACTCATCTTCCATAGACGTCTGTGCGAGCACATCAGCGCCCGCTAGAAAAATAGTAGATTGTTATTTAGGATGTTCCCCCCTGAAACTAACAGTCCCCAAAAGGGATTATAATAAGGGGTTACTCTAATCCCTATGAAGGACTGGTAGTACAAGGGGGGAACAGACCCTAAACCCTAAACCCTAAACCCTAAACCCTAAACCCTAAACCCTAAACCCTAAACCCTAAACCCTAAACCCTAAACGCTAAACCCTAAACCCTAAACCCTAAACCCTAAACCCTAAACCCTAAACCCTAAACCCTAAACCCTACATTTCATACTCTTCCAACCTTGGACTCCAGGTTTCTCCGTCACGCCGTGGATATGCTGTTGGCTGGCGATGCCGCAGCTGCCGACCGCCCCTTGCTTAGGGTTTAGGGTTTAGGGTTTAGGGTTTAGGGTGCTTGTTCTCTGTGATTCCCCAATGTAGGGGTTTAGGGCTTAGTGGTTTTGGGGGTTTAGGGGTTTTGGGGCTTAGAGTTTTGGGGTTTAGAGGTTCGGGGTTTAGGGGTTTAGGGGTTTAGGGTTTAAGGGTTTAGGGATTCCCCGCTGTTTTGTCCAACTCCGGGCACCGATTCAGAGTCCTTATCTGGCCCGAGTAGTACTTAGTACCTTCAAGGAACACAGCTGTGAACCGGTACGTGCGGGTTGGTTGTTGTAACATGGACATCCTGTGCTCAGAGCCTCGTGTGCACGTCTGAGCACTCCCTGCACTTTCAGACAGCAAAAGGGCTTTCAGAATCCCATTTGAACCCCTAAACCCCCAAACCCCGAAGCCCCTAAACCCCCCAAATTTGTGCATGCACAGCGATGGCTTGCTGTACTTGGCCTAGGCGATGATGCTGATCCCAAGCGCTCGGCCGCATGGGAGGCCAGTGTGCAGAGTGGCTGTGGAGCAGGAGTGTCCTAGGAGCCTGCCTCTTCTTTTGGGGCGTTCCTTCCTGCATGGGAGCTGCGGTCGAAAGCATTCAGCGAGCTCGTGGCTGGGATGGCAGGCTGCCCAGAAGAGCATGCAGTCTCTGAAGGGCGACGATCGCCTCTTGACAAGATCTTCAAGAGTCTGCCTGCCCTGGCTGTCCATCCGGCAATGATTGGAGCACTGTAGGCTTTTTCACGTGTCTCTGATTCTTGCAGCTAGTCGTCACAGTCCTCACATCTGAATCTTGCCTCAAGCAGGCACAAAAACTGCCAGATCCCAGAAGCAGTCGCGGGACAGTGAAATCTCGCTGTGATCCCAAGGAAGTGACCTTGCAGACTGTCTGCGCTACCTGCAACAGCGAATAGGCACGGGGAGGGACAAGGTGGGCTAGATTTGGGAGGTTCGCACAGTAGATGCAAAACGCCCAGCCTTTGCCTTTCTTCAGCTTCCTAGAACCGTGTACAATGTACCCCCTCCCCCCCAACTCCGTACTGGCAGCAAAAGAGAGAGTCCGACTTTGTTCCGGCTGTTCTTCTGTGGATTCTTTGAAGGAGTTCCGCGCGACATGTCCCTCAACGCAGCGAGACGCCTGCGCGGGGAGCTGGGGCCTCTTGGCCAAAGGCGCATGCCAGTCCCTGATAGCCGAGCATGGAAGACGTTAGGGTGTAGGGTTTGGGGTCTAGGGTTTAGGTCTTGCTAAGGAATGTTTGCGCCTGGAGGCCCATGAAGAGTTATGAACAGCTGCGATCCCTGAACCCTAAACCCTCCCTAAACCCTCCCTAAACCCTAAACCCTAAACCCTAAACCCTAAACCCTAAACCCTGAACCCCAAACCCTAAACCCAAAACCCCTTTTGGAAGCCCAGGAAGATGATCGCAGCGCTGTAACGCCGACTCTGACGAAGGCAACGGGCAGCACGGAATCATGTCGGCTCATGTGCTTCGCATCATCCTACATTAAGGGGTACCCCCAGAATGGACCCTTATTCTTATCCCTCTAGATAGGCCCCTATATGCTCATATATATAGGGGTATGACTACAGTTTTTGATGATTGACCACACTTCAGTTTTTGCAACTTTGTTCAAGGGAACGTTTATACTAGAACCTACGGCAAGGACCCCCCTCCCCCCGACAGAACAGGTATCCCAATTTGGAGCAAACCCCAATATCTCTCTCTGACATCTTGTAGGCAGCCTCCTCTTAAAGCAACATGTCGCAAGTTAACGAGCCGGCAAGGACCCAGCAGAGCGCTCTGCCCGTCCATGAGTGGCCTAAGATCGTGAAAGTGGCAGTGCCTGTGACTGGCCGCGGCAAGCAGTTGCTCTTCAGGGATTGATGGTTTACCTCTCCTGAATGCAGCGCACCTTCAGTTGCTGTCTTTGCTTGCCTAGGGCAGCATAGGGCAGCGTTAGCTTTGCGACAATTTTCTGTGGCGCGGCGGGGCTCTGTTTGATTCTCGCTTGCGCTTGTGCCGTGTGCTTGGCGAGTTGTGCTGGGCAGCAGTTTTCGAGGTCCTGTGCCTGAACAGTGTGTTGAACGTGTTGATTACCGCACAATTTTCGACAAAGGCAGCTGCACTGCCAAAACCCGCAGCTGGTAACAGAAAAGGGCAGGCAGTGCGAAGTTGCACAAGATGGCTCGTTCAAGGGAGCATTTTGTGAGATATTTGACATTGTTGCGTCGTTGTATTCTGGTTATATTGTTAAGTATCATTTCGTTTGTATAAATGCAGAGTTGGTACTCGTAATTTGGATCCATGAATCAGGGATTGTGTCCATGCGCGGATGCCAGGTCTGCCTCTGTGCCGGGCTATGAAGCTGTGGTGGGGCGTCCCCTTGAGGCGGAGTGTTCCTACTTTGCAAACCCTAAGTCCCAAACCCTAAACCATAAACCCAAAACCCAAAAGTTGTGCAAAAAAGCTGTTGATAGCTGCGACTCATGACTCAGATCGTGTGCAGCTGCAACATGTTCAGCGCGATGGGAGCGTGTTGCTGGAAGATCGCCGTCCTCAGCTTCAGCTATGAAGTCTGGCAAAGCGTGGCCACCTTGTCCCAGCAAACCAGGAGAATCATCTGAAAATCGAGTAATGAGAGGAGGCTATCCGAAGGCAGCCCCTTGATCAAGGCAAGCTTCGTCAGAGTCGGATAGAGGAGGTCGTTCGGACGCAGGCGGACGAAGTAGCATTTCCTTGCGTCCTCTCTGCCTGCTCATGACAAGCCGCAAAAAGCTAGGCACCCCTCCGAGGCAACGTGTGAGGCCAAGAGGCATATTATATGCAGATTCGGGAGTCTCTCGCAGAGCCCCTCGTGGGCCTCGTAGCGAAAGGGCTACGGCAAAATGATCGAGCCTTCTCATCATAACTTCTCTTTCTGTTCCTGTCATCCTATGTTACATCATTTTGTGACATGTACATAAACATAAATATAAATACAAATAAATAAACAAACAAATAAATACACACACATATATATATATATCACCATCATCTTTGAATTTTAGTCTCTCATTACGACTACTATATTGCGACGGCTATTGCCTTTGGTATTGTTGCCTTTACCCTGTCAGGTCGAGGTCAAGGCCTTGAGCGAAGAAGGTCGAGCAGTGAACTTCGCGGCGAAAGGATGGCAGGCGACCGACGAGAAACCTCAGCTCTGAGCGAGGAGCAGCGCGTGCACATCTTCGTTGCAACTTTGTATTCCCGTGGGCAGGCAAGGCAGTTGCAGCACACGGTTGACATGCTGGATGGGGTTCTCTACGTGGACCGCGGGGTGCTTAGTTGCAGCGGGGCTTGTGTGGCCGGAAGGACTTCGGCAGATCCCTCACACGCCTTCCCGGTCACGTCCGCGGCCGGCTTTGAATCCTTGGGCAGTTCTCCAACAAAATCCCGCCACTTTTCAGGTCCCTACCTAAGTACCGAGCCTTGCATTTGGGACACCCCGAAAACAGGCCGCAGCTTAGCAGCTTAGAGAACTGGCCAGGTGCACTTCACACTACAGCTCCCGGTGCCAAGGTATGGAGACAAAGTCTTTCCGTCGAGACAAAGTTGAGGCGCCCGGCTGCTGGCTGCGAGACGTCTCTCTGCACATGGGGGGTTTACGAAAATAGGGGACCCTCCAAGATAGTGCCCCAAATAGGAGCAATCCCTGATTATCAGGACCCCAATAAGGTACCCGTAATTTCGGAGTCCCCACGAACGCCTGTGCAGCTAGGGGGGTTGAAGAGTGGGGCGATTGCACGGCTGATGTTGACTTTGCGGAACGAGAAGGGTGAACAGGCGTGGGGGTGGTTCTAATGGAAGCCCGTTTTCAACGGATGACAATAAACAGAAAATCGAATAATATACAAATAGTATCACAAAAAGTAGTTGAGCAATGACATAATTTTCAGACTTCGGTTCTGGAAATCGCCGTAGAACCGTTTTGCCTTGGCCAACAGCTCTGGCGAGCCTGGGCTTTTTGACCATCTGCGGCAGGAGGACCTTCCTGAAGGCGTCCCGTATGGAGTGCGAGCAGCGAGGGCAGCAAAGGCTCGCAGTGCTCTTCATCCCAGCTCTGCCTTTAGGGCTTTCTAGGGTTTAGGGTTTAGGGTTTAGGGTTTAGGGTTTAGGGTTTAGGGTTTAGGGTTTAGAATCTTCAAGTAAGGGATGATTTCATGTTGCCTTCCCTACTACCCTCAGGCCCCGCGATCGAAGCCGGCGACCAGTGCCTCAGCCGCAGCAAGCTGCTGCTGGTACAGGTCCAAGAGACGTGGCGAAATCCTAACAGAATAGGAGAACGAGAGAATAAGAGAATGATGGAATCATAGAGTAGTAGAATACTAGAATAGTAGATTAATAGGATGGTAGAAGAGTAGAATAACGAAGCAATAGAATAATTGAACAATGGAATAATGGAATCATAGAATCATAGGATCAAAATCAGAGAATCATAGAATCACAGAATCATAGAATAATAGAAGAATGGAACAATCGAAGAATGGAATAATATTGAATAATCGATTACTAGAACAATCGAATAATAGAATAATTGAATAATCGATTAGAGGAGAAGCAAACGAACGCGTAGCCAGACACTGTGGCTTCCGACTCTAACATTTACCCCTGAAAGGGTTTAGGGTTTAGGGTTTAGAGCCTGCACCTTCTTTCGGCAGGAGAGGTGCCTGGTAGAACTCAACTGCTCAAGCATACGTGTAGGTGGCTGAATGGGGGCCGGGTGTATGAAGCTGCTCTCGCATACTGTTTCCGGAATCTTGTTGCCCTCCTGAGGCAAGCGGTCTGCCCGCACCCGCAGATAGCAGCGGATTGGAAATCGACCCAAAAGTGCGAAGATGTCACGGCTGGCTCTGCGTATGGCAGCTTGATGCTCTGCTTGGAGGTTCATGGTACTTATCAACCAATTATAAGTGTACTTATAACCCGCTTATATGCACCCCTCGTGCGAGGCGGGTGTTGGTCACAGCTGTCCGAGGGCATAGTGTCATGTGACCTGCTTGCGGGGGGTTGGATGGAGTTTGCCATTCCCCCTTATCCAGGAAAAGGTGGTGACTGAGTGACTTGGGAAAGTAAGTGCCACACGGGTCGCGTCATGCACCTAGTATCTGTAGAGGGATCTGCAGAGAAGCGTGCTCGCCAACATTGGCACACGGCCGGGCACCGCCCAATGCAGAGGCGAGCTTAGTACCTTGATGGGAGACTGTCGGGGGAAGAGCCCTTGTCGCATGAACTTCCGCAAGGCTGGCACGCTGTCTTGCCCTTAAACCAGCTTGCCGGTGGCGGGCCTGCCTAGTTGTTGTTCTTGCGTCTGCAAGCATGCGCTCTTGCGTAACCGGGCCATTTGCTGGGCTTGGAACGTTGTTTCCTGGGCTGGGGCGTTCGCCAGCGTGAACTCCAAGTGGAGGGGGCAAGGACGTTTGTGGAGCCCCCTGAGAAGCAGGGAGGGATCGGCGCCTTAGGCATGGCTTCCTGCAGTCCCACCGCATGCAGCTAGTCGCTTACTCACTCACTCACTCACCCACTTATATGCCCCTTATGTGCCCCAATATGGTTATAAGTTTAATAAGTACAGTTACAAGTACAGTCATTATTGGTTAATAAGTACCATGATGGAGGTACAGCTGCGTAAAGACATTGTGTGGTCTTGAAGGTTTCGTTGGAAGGCCAGGTTTGCACGGGGTCCATTCCCACACTCCCCCAAGATGCATTCTGCCCGTAAAAAGGGGAGTTTTAGGGTTTCGGGTTTAGGGTTTTGGGTTTAGGGTTTGGGGTTTGAGGAAGGTTGGGCAAGTGAATGTCGGGTGGGAGAGATGCAATGTCTGCAGGCTAGAGACTCTTTAGTACTATGAAGCGCATGTTTGAAGCTGCGCAAAGGGCTTTGTTGCTCGGTATTCTCGACGGTCTGACCTCGGGCCAAAGCTTGCACAAGTGATGACTCTCATGAGCAGCTTTGATGACCACAGAACCGCATCCGCCTGCAAGTCCGTGGCAAGCAGCCGAGCCAAGAGAAGCCAGAAACAGCACATCAAGCAACCTTTGACAACCGGCCCTTGCCATGTCCGACGAGGCGTGTCGGATGTGCTGTGCGCGCGGGATCCGTGACTAGGGAGTCTCCACAGCGCAGCCTTGCGGACAGGAAGCCTCGTTCCAGATTCAACTGTCAGACGCAGAGTCCTCCGTATCCCTTGAAGAGGCCAGGAGATGCACCTTGCTTGTGCGTCGGGAGCCGTGGCAGCTGTGGTGCTGTTGGGCCCAGATTCTGTTGCAGGGGCCCGGAGCTCTCCATGGGCTGAGCAAAGAGGTGCACCTTCAGCGAACCCGGGGCCCCACCCCGAAACCCTGTCTCTGCCCCGGATGCTCTCTGCCCGGATGTGCGAGGTGAGTGCACTGCCTGAGGAGATGCAGCATCTTCTGCAGAACTTGCAGGAGTTGAGACAGTTCATGCTCTGGAAATGAGAGGCAGATTGGCTTACCTGTAGGGTAGGCCTGTGACATGAGAAAAGGTTTACAAAGTAACCTAGCTCTCTCAACCACCAAGTTGCCACCGAATCCCAGAATCCAGGAGCAGGTGGGAAGTTTCCCATGTCAGGAGACTCTGAACCAGCGGAGGCGTCGTCGATGCGATGAGCACGAGGCTGTTGGTGAAAGCATTTGTGTTTGTAGGGAACCGCTCGGATGGGCGGCCCCTCTCCGCAGGCCCTCGCGCAACATGCGAAAAGGCGGCGGGAGCATGACGGCCTGGCTCTCAACATGCCCATGAAGTGGAGCCTGGAGTTGAAGACTCGGCATCTGAGAGCCGAGGCGCCGCCAAGGCTGCTTGGGACCTGAAGCAGCTGTGCCGCATCAGGGGTCACTGGGAGTTGTTGGGGATGTTTTAACGACGTTTTTGGCACTTTCAGAAGTCAAGAGTCCCCTTTTTGAGCGTTTAGTCTGCTCCGACCAAAGTCTGCTCTGGTCCCCTGTTTCGTTTGGGCCCCTCCCTCTCGCTCGCTCTCTCTCTCTCTCTCTGTCTCTCTCTCTCTCTCTCTCTCTCTCTCTCTCTCTCTCTCTCGTTCCTTAGCCGACACACTTGCGAGCAGATCTTGCTTGAACGCTCAGCTCTTCTCGAAGATGAGCAAACTCGCCAAGGCTGAGAGAAGTAGCGCTGCTCGCAGTCCAGGTTCCAGAAGGTGCCATCCTTTTGCTGCAACACCTTGGTCATCTTATGTTGAGACAGGAGCCGAGCTCTATAGCGCCCTCCACACTGAGGGTACAAGCAAGGAGGCTCTCCATGATGTGTGCAGAACTAGACTGGCTATACATGGCCGAGTGGCCACTTGGGAAGGTCCAGCCCACGGCAGTGAAGGCACGCGGCGCGACCACCTGACAAAAAATGCAAGCCCTGCTCCCTCTGCAGCCGGTGAATGTCATGCTCGCGTGAAGTGAGTCTGAAACTTGGGACGTCGGCAGGCCATTTTTTCCCCAAGGTTCCCCTCCAAAAGAGCTCGGCAGGTTCTCCCCCAGCATCTCATGCCTCATGGCTCGGGTCTACTCAGTTGCCGGAAATGAGCTCGTCACCCTGAGCGGGCTGGAGTTGAAGGCCCTCGTAGAGGCACACGACAGCTTCAACAGGGCTGTGCGGCGATACTTGGCTCCTCTCACCGGTGTTCCGACTTTTCGGCAGAAGCTCGTCTTCCAGGGCCGGATGCTCCAGGATCAGGACACCCTGGACCTTTGGGATGGGACACTCCAAGTTCAGCTGGTCATCCTGCCAAGTTCCTACGACAAGACCCCAGAGCTCTGGGCCTCGGTGCTCAAGAACGACCACGTGCAGGTCAAGGATCTTCTGGAGCAGTCCCAGGATCCCAACGTGGCGGAAGGGCCGACTGCGAGGACCCCACTGCTTCGCGCCTCCTTTCAGGGCTTCCTGGAGGTTGCGAAGCTCTTGCTGGAGGCCAGAGCTGAGCCCGACCAGGCGGATGTTTATGGGCAGACGCCTCTTCGAGTCGCTGGGGAAGGGGGCTTCCTGGACACCCTGCGTGCGCTGCTGGATGCCGGCGCGGACAAGGACCTCGTGGACTCCGTGGGAGCCACGCCGTTGATGGCGTTTGCGCGCGAGGGCTCTGCTGAGGTTGCTCGCATCTTGCTCGAAGCGGGTGCTGACAAAGACTCTGAGGCGCTGCACGAAGAAACGCCTCTTTTGGCGGCGGCAAGGGCTGGGCACCGTGAAGTTGTACATCTTTTGCTGGAGGCCAAGGCTGCGCAAAGAGCAGACCGAAGCGGCACCACGCCTCTCCATGCGGCTTCCCAGAACGGTTTCGCTCCGATTGTGCGATTGCTCCTCAGCCAAAGGGCTGAGGTTGACCGGACGGACCGCAAGCGCCGCAGCCCTTTACTGGGTGCCGCCCGCAGTGGCGCTGCAGAAGTGGCTGACCTTCTCTTAGGGGCGAGGGCGGATCCTGACGTGGCCTCCATTGTGAAAGATACGCCCCTCTTCGTCGCTGCGCTGCATGGGCACAAGGACGTCGTGCGCCGCCTCATCAAGGCGAGGGCCACGGTGGATCTACAAAACTGTGATGGCACCACGCCTCTGAGTGCAGCTGCCTCAAATGGCCATGCCGAAATTGTGCAGGAGCTTCTAAGCAGCGGCGCCGACCTGGATCGGGCAGACATGGTCGGAGCCAGCCCTTTGCTGCTTGCTGCATCAAACGGCCAAAGTGAGGTGGTCGCTGCTTTGGTGGAGGCTCGCGCTTGCGTGGACCTTGTAGACTTCCACCGGGAGACACCCCTGCTGGTGGCCGCTAGGGCCGGGTTTTCTGAGATCGTGGATGCCTTAATCCAGGCTGGCGCGCTGCACTTGGCAGATATGACTGGTGCGACACCCCTGCGGACAGCGTGTGCCAATGGCCACGCTCCGATTGTGGAGGCCTTGCTGCACGTCAGAGCCCATGCAGACACCGCGGACGTCAACGGAACAACCCCCCTTTTGGCAGCCTCTCGGCAAGGTCATGCAGGCATCGTGGAGGTATTGCTGGGTGCAGGAGCCGAGGTAGACAAGAGCGATGCGGGTGGATGTACACCCTTACTTGCAGCCGCCAGCCTTGGACATTCAACCATTGTTCGTCAGCTGCTCGAAGCTCGAGCTGACGTAGAGAAGCCCAATTTGGCTGATGAGACGCCGGTACTTGTGGCAGCCATCCAGGGGCACAGGGAAGTTCTTCACAGGCTGGCAGGCGACGGGTCCCCAGAATCGGCATTACATTGGCAAGGCCTGAAAACGCTGGCCGGTCGGTGCAAGCCGTACCCAGAGGTCGAAGTTGTGCTTTGCCCGGATTAGGACTAGGACTAGAACTAGGACTCGGACGAGGACTAGGACTTCAAGCCATCTTTTGCCTACGAACCTTCGAAGTCTTCTGTGATCCGGCAGCTGTGAACCTAGACAACATCTAGCCTGCTGCGCAGTAGACTATGTTCTTTACTTCTGGAACCCTGTGTTGATGGCCAGTAATATGTTGTCATGGTGCCGAAGCGGCAAAGCAGCTGCGTTCTGCGTGCATCGTGTAAAAGATTTGAAGGATCGGCGCTTGTCTGAAGAATCAGGCGCAGAATGGCGGGGTTTAGAACAAAAGTCCATCAGTGCCTGGACTTTGTAGGCAACATTCAGTTCCTACAGTATGTCAAGTCTGGGTTTGATGGCTGGCATTCTGCCGGCACCCTGCTACACAATTTGCTCAGATGCAAGAGACATCAGGGTATACATACTGCTGCAGATGTCGTTTGAAGAACCAGCCTGAAGAATGTGGCAAAAGTCCGTGGGTCACCGGCCAATTCCGATACCAAATCTTGGCATGATGGCTGGCGTTTTGCTCGCATCTGCTTGCTCCTCTCTGCTAAGTATGCTCAGATGCCAAGACACCATATTGCCAGAAATGCTGTGTGAAGCTCCAAAACCAAGATGCTTAAAATAACCTCTGTGCCTTGAAGGATATGGCCTGCTAATGTATGCGAATGTCATATCAGTCCAGTTCGCTGAGCGAGTCGGCCCTTGCAAAGAAGACAGTTGAGATGCAAGGAAGAACGTAGCCATGGATAGCACCGACGACGTCGGCGTACCAGTGCGGCGCAAGCAGAAGAAGCACTTCTTAGAGGACCGCCCTGGTCCCTCACTGGAACCATGAGTTGGGATGCTCCCCGCAAAAACTAAGAGTCCTTACTAGGGACTGCAAATAGGGGGGGGGGTACTATAATCCCGGTTAAGGACTGTTAGTATAAGGGGGAACATCCCAAACCACGAGCTTTTCAACTTCCATAGAGACACGCTGCCGTGGGTGAGAGCTTGGCCAGGAGGGAGACCTGGTACGGCAGCTGCTAAGCGAGGAGCACTCCAGTGGCCAAGGCTTCGCATGTGCGCAAGGGTGCGTCGTGGGGGGTTTGGGGTTCAGGGTTTAGGGTTTAGGGTTTAGGGTTTAGGGGCCGCAGTTAGGACGCCATTGGGGGAAGGGTGCTCTGCGTTTCCATTGGCCCAGGCCGGCTTGGCTTAAGGGAATCACTTTGCAGAAACTCACAGCTTGTGGACGCGAGTGCAGACTTGCAATACGGCAACAGTACACCGAGACTGACGCCAGGCTTCGATGACCTTCGTCGTGAGGTCCTTGGCCGTCGTGGCAGTGGCCTTTGCCGAAGCAGCGACACTGTCCGGCACCTACAAACGGTGTAGCCTTTCAGATTGCAGATAGTGCATTTGAGTCCTGAGGTGTCTCTATGTTTTGGGGAGAAGGCCAGAAGCTCATCGCTAAGGGCCGATGCCCAGGGGCTGGAAGCTTCAGGGGCGTGATGCCAACAACGCATCGACACATAGTTCGAATTTCAGGGCGTCACGGGTGTGAATGTTATGCAGGGGGTTCAGGGTATTCGGATATTTCAGGGTAGTCAGGGGTATTCAGGGTGTTCAGGGGTATTTAGGGTATTCAGCGTTGAGGTGGCAACGAGCAGCTACTGAACACATCTGAACACCACTCGAGGGCCCAAAAGCCCTGTTCAGAGCCCACAGTGCGGCTGTTCCCACAGAAGCCTGGGCTTGTGTGTGTGTGTGTGTGTGTGTGTTGTGTGTGTGTGTGTGTGTGTGTGTGTGTGTGTGTGTGTGTGTGTGTGTGTGTGTGTGTGTGTGTGTGTGTGTGTGTGTGTGTGTGTGTGTGTTTAGGGTCTAGGGTTAGAGCCTAGCGATTCAGAGGCGAGAAGCCTGTCGCCGCAGACGCAGGCCTGCTGACAACACTGGGAGGGGCATTGATCGCGTATGGCAGACACTGGCTTCGTTACAGGCAAGCCCAGTCTACTCGCCGCATGGGCACAGCCGTCCAGTCCTCGGCACTAGCCTTGCAGCAAACACTTCCGGCTTCGATGATCCCAGTCTTTCATGAAAAGCCCTAGGCCCACTCCACATTGCAAACGAAAGTTTCACGGCCCGTTTGGCAACAAGGGTTTGAGCTGTCCATTGGTGCCTTTCGTAAGAAGCTGCGCGATAAGCCCGGTTTTGGCCCAGTCTTCATGACCGCCTAGCGACGCCTGTGAGCTGGTTGTTGTCGGGGATGTTTGGGCAGTGGGGCCCCCTTGCCTGGTTGTTGTGGCCCGTTCTGTTGCAGTTGCTCTCTTACCTCTGGCCTGCCTTTGCTTTTGAATCCGAACGGGTTCTGAAGTGCAGTAGACTCAAAGCATCAGTGCTGTGCTGTGCGGTGTTCTCAGGCCTTTGTGACGCATTGCCCTTGTGTCCCGGCCTTTCCCAGGTGCCATTCCTCCTCAGGTAGCCGAGTATGGCTTCACACGCCTCGGAAAGTCACCTCAAGGTGCAACACTTGTGGTGCAACATGGCTTTTATATATCATAATGTATATATACATATATACAATATGGTATAGTATAATACAATACAACACAACATAACATGATATTGTTCATCAAACATGAAGAGTGGCAGGGATCCCCTAGAGCCGTTAACTGAAGGGCGCCGCGACCGCGACTCCTCTCCACTGGCGTGGCCCGAACCTTCAGAAGGCAGAGGAATCTGATGGTGCGGGATGCGGACACCACACGACTTGGCCCTGTGAGGCCCCTGTGTTTCCTGAGCCCTTGGTAGGCTCCCCGGCACCCAGCCATCGCGCGTGCTCGAGGCGGCAGGTGGCGCTCATGCCAATGTCATGCTATTGCTACTGTCTTGTTCCCTCCTAGGTTGCTCCCCACAGTGTTTAGGGTTTAAGGTTTAGGGTGTAGTTTAGGGTTTAGGGTTTAAGGTTCAAGGCCCAGTTTGCTGAGTCACATGCGTTCTCTGCAGGATTCAAGGCAAGCGCGGGCCTGCCTGGAGTTGTTGGCACCGGATTTAGGCAGGGTCACACCAGCTCTTTTCGCCAAGTGTAAGGATGTTAAGGGTGTTGTTAGCAGTTGGTAGTGGTCTTCTGAGTCCTCTGTGTCGCTGCCAGGCTTCGCCGACGTGCCATCAAGCGCACCAAGCGCACGCAGCCGAAGCAGCCAAGGCACCGGCGCAACACAACATTGTTCCAGTGGTCCGGATGATGCTGATACATAGACAGGCAACACATGGAGGGCCTGACGTGCAAAGAGTTTACCTCCCTCTCCCCCGCCCCAAAACAAACAAAGTGTTAATGAATGTCCAGGTTGGATTGGTTGGCGCCAGAACGAGGAGGCTTTCATCGAGTGCTGCGCATGCTTTGGCCTTCCAGAAAGCTAGAATGGACTTTGTCTGTGGCATAGGCCGTGATGCTTCAAAGAAGCGTATGCAACATCTCCCTTCAGTGTCATTTGATGTCCTGGCGAGAGGTGGCTGACCATCGTGAACAGGAAAGGACGCTGCAGGAGGAGGAGGCTTCCAAACGGTTTAGGGCTGAGGGTTTAGGGTTTAGGGTTTAAAGTTTATGGTTTAGGGTTTAGGGTGCCAACCTGCGATGCGAGTGCTGAGCCAGTGTATCACGAGAGAGCAATGGCAGGTTCAGTCTGGAATGACTCGACGATCCGGGCGATGTGCCTTGGCTTACGTTGCGTGCCCGGCCTTTGAAATTGAAGCCAGAATCATCTTCTGCCCTAGCGCGCTGAAAGCGGACAAGATGCGGCAAGCTGTGGTTGTAGCACCATCCACGTTCGGGCTGTGGTGGTTGTAGTATCCATGTTCCATTTCAGGCTTTCTTGGTTTTGAAGTTTGGGGATCTGCCTCACGCATTCTGCAGCCGTCGGCAGCGCAGGTATGCGAGACAGCAGCTTGAGACACGCGCTGAGGCCTCCAACCAACTAAATGCATGCCTCCCATGTTGATATGGCCAGATCTACAAGATATCGTCCTCTTCTTGGTTCCCTGTTAGATGTTGGCCCTTAATTCTAAACATTCCAGGGGCTCCCCATCAAAGTGCCACAACAGCGAGAGCTGATCAAGTGGCTTCTGTAGCCAATTTTTCATTTGCTGGGCAAACCAAGCTAAGTACGGTAGCCAACATGTCCGACCCATTCATACAAAAGTTTCCCCCTCCCTTGCATTAGGCTCTCTGAGATCAGGTCAATGGGAGGGGAGCTGCAATCAGTAGGATTCTGTAGGATTTGCGGCCTGCGAGACCAGTTGGGACAGTACTTCTAGCTACTTCTAGTCATCTTAGGGCACTTAAGGGCTTCTAAGTGGGTTATAAGTACAGGTATAAATGAACGAGGACACTAGTTCTTGTATTCCGACTGGGGAACTGCTTCTTTTGATTCTGTAGTTTGGTGGTGTATCCTTGAGCACCTGTCTGCGAGGCATACAGGCGTCCCCAATCTTTCGAGCTGTGCCGCGCGCTCAGAGCACATCCCCTCGCAAACATCTGAAAACTGCCAACGTGGTGTAGCAAGAGGTCTCGCTTTTGAACTGGGTTAGACTCCAAACCCTAAACCCTAAACCCTAAACCCTAAACCCCAAACCCTAAACCCTAAACCCTAAACCCTAAACCCTAAACCCTAAGAACTCTGAGAAACCCCGAAACCCCAAACCCCAACACCGCAAACCCCTGAACCCCCATGCCCGAAACCCTCGGCTTGTTGCAAGTTCTTCTGCACCTGAGGATGACCTTCGTCAGGACAAGCTCCTCCCCCGGAGAGGCAGTCGATCGGCCTGGGGCTAAGCCCAAGTGCTTGGAGCCCTAACCCTAAACCCTAAACCCTAAACCCTAAACCCTAAACCCGAAACCCGAAACCCTAAACCCCTAAACCCCTAAACCTTAAACCCTAAACCCAAACCCCAAAACCCTAAACCCCAAACCCTGGACCCTAAGCCCTAGTCAGCGACCATGCGTGGTGGGCAAGCGGTCTTGGCGAGTTTGGGCTCAGATAGGCCAGACAGCGCATGTGCGGCCGGTCGTCCGTCGCCCATTAATTAACCCCTAAACTGTAAACCCTGAACTCCCTAAACCCTAAACCCTGACCCCTAAACCCTAAACCCTAAACCCTAAACCCTAAACCCTAAACCCTAAACCCTAAACCGTAAACCGTAAACCGTAAACCCCAAACCCTACCTAAACTTTAAGTCCTAAACCACAGGTAAACATGGTCCTGAGCCATGCATGGCCTTGCTTCGACCATCTGGTGCCGGCCTCCGGTCGCTGCGAGCGTATTCCACACGAGGTTGCATGGTGCCGGACAAAGCCTGCCGAGCCTTGTTTCCCAGACGGAGATCTTTAGGGGTTGAGGGTTTAGGGCTTAGGGTTTAGGGTTATGAGGGGTTGAGGGTTTAGGGTTTAGGGTTTGCTGTAATATAGCGCGGTTGCTGGACCAGTACTGGTCCAGAGGAGAAGGGGACACGGTACCGGGCCCATCTGCGAGGCGTGGGAGGCGGGCGAGCGACCTGGGTCGGCTTGCTCCATTGAAGGGGCCTAAGCCTTGGGTTCAGGGTGGTTTTGGGGTTGAGGGTTTAGGGTTGCGGTAGAGGGGACGGGGAGATTTGGAAGTTCTACATTATGTTGGAATCAGGGTTGGCACAGCTTGTGCTCAGGACTGGGTCGCCCGTTTGGATATCCAGAATCTCGCCCACATCGAGGCAGGGATTGGCTGTGCTCAGCCAGAAGTGGCTACCGTACAGAGCCCTCAAGCTGTTTCACTTCACATCTTGAGTCAACTTGAGCTGCAGGCTTGCAATATGGACCTGCCTTGCCGGTCTTCGCACCCTCTGTAGACAGCATCTCGGCGCAGACGGTCTGAGGATTTGCGTGAATGGCGACAGGATGAAGGACGCGAGGCCGACATCTAAAATAGTCTTGTAGAGTAGTAGAGAAAGCAAACCCTCTGCCCACGATGCCGCCCCATGCCTGCCAGAACGGTCCAGATTGTCTCTGCCAGGTCCACCTTGCAGAGAAGGGCTTCAAATGCCAAGGCCAGAACGCCATGGCATGGCATCAGTGGTGGCCCTCTGCAAGACAGTCTTGGACAAGTGGAAACTGCGTGAGCACTGTGCGCTGGTCGGTTCTTATTCCATGTTGCTCCATACACATGGTCAAACGCAAGTTTTTCTCAGAGAGCAAGGCCCTGTCCCGCGACAGGGGCACGACCTGCTTGACGGTATCTGCCATGGTCATGTGCGTAGTGAGTGTGGTGAGGGTGCACGTGACAGAGGTTCTGGCATTACGTATGGCACAAGTATGTCGCGTCGTGAGGCTTCGGTGTAGCATCAGTCTGGATTCTGACGCGCAGGCAAGTCTTGCAGCTGACGACCTAACGGCAAACGGAATCCGGAGAGTGCACATGGGAGACGCGGCTTTGCAATGACTAGTTTGAACATGCTCGAAACGCCATGCATTTCGTACGTCTGATTTGCGTGTTTTTTTCAGTCCTACAAACCTTCACTTCGCAATTTCCCCAACGAAGGATCGACTCGTGATCGAGGACGCTGCCTCCTTGCTACCGAGGTTCAGCAGTCTTTCATTGCCTCTTTACCCCAGCAGAACTGAATCTTCTCTAGATGCAGCCCCATTCTCAATATGCCAGGATGCTGAACCGGGCGATGTCCTCATCAGGCCCGGCTTGTAAAACTCGACAACGGAAAGCTGTTGCTGAAATCATGACATCCTCTCGGCCACTCTGCCAAGACAGTTGCTTTCATTCTGCGGACCGTTGAACAAGAAACCCGTGCGGCTTGCTCGGGTTCGCACTGAGGGAGAAAGCTTCCTTCGTGCACGACATGGGAAGCAACGTCTCGCAGCAAGGACTGTCAAGGGAGCCAGGGAAGCATGTTGCCTTGTGGCGGTCGGGTTGCGTCAGACCAGTTCAATCCCGTCGCCATCGGGTCATGAGGTTCTCTTTGCTTTGGAGTCGGTTCCATTCGCCTTCACCAGCTTTCGCACTGGAGGCGCTGAAGAGATATGGATGCAGTTTCATCAGCTACCCAGTGAGACCCAAGCTGCCATTTTGGGAACCTCGGCTTCAGAAGTTCCGCACCAACACGCCGACAAACCGACACACCGACACAGACGGATGGACGGGCGGGCAGACGGATGAACAGACGGACCGACAGACAGACCACACACACACACACACACACACCCCCTACCAATTCACACCCTTCCGCGAAGGAGTGTAGTTGTCTTGAGGCTTATTCTGTCCGGAGCAGCCAGTCAGAGCTCTTGAAGACTCCCCGGGGTCACTCGGCTGGTGCACGTGTCAGAGACAACTGGAAACCGCTATGAATGATGGCAATCAGCGCAATGATGGCAATGCAAGGCGATCCGACATGCAAATCTAAGCGCCAGGAAAACTCGCATTCGATTTGACTTGATGACTGTGTGGATGTGCAACCACCTGGATCCTAGACTGTCCTAGACCGTAAATTTGGAACCCTAAGCCCTAAAGGGGTGTCTGAGGTACATGCTGGCTTCCGATGACCAACGTCGGCTGCTTGGGATCTTGAGCCAGGGCAGAAACTTTATTCCCCAAGTCCCACATATATGGACTCCCAGTACATTAAAGTCAGTTTTCATGAGTTTCTCTTGTAGAAGTAGTCGCCGAATCGAGAGTTGTAAGCAACCAGGGGCAAGTACCGTTGTTTGGTTGTTATCTTGGGTGAGGGAGGCATTTGTTTGCTTGGGCCAGCTGTGCGCCGAGGAAGGTCAACAGCGTCAAGCTGAGAGGCCGGATGGGCAAGGTGCAGCGATGTAGTCCTGAACCCTTTAGGCGAACATGGGGATTTTCTAAAAAGAAAGATGGTCCTGCGTTCCTACCCTAAGTATGGCAGAATCCCCATGAGGGAACCCCCTCAAAGGGACACTCTTACATTTTACGGGCCCGCCCGGACATGTTCTCAGCAGGCCCTGGTGCGGGCGTTTTCCTGACGATCAGTCGAGCGAACCACTCCTGTCGGCCCAACTGTGCCTTCGTCCTCAGTGATGACGCTTGGAAGCCAGAAATCATGCTGGGTTTAGGGTTTAGGGTTTAGGGTTTAGGGTTTAGGGTTTAGGACTTAGGGTTTCGGGTTTAGGGTGCAGGGTTTAGGGCTTATGGTTTAGGGTTTAGGCTCTGCCAGCCCTGGTAAGGATGCCACTTGTGGCTTGGTAGCCATCCAAGAAATCAAAGCCGACGAGGACTCCTTGCAATGAGTGGGTTCGGGTGTAAGGGGGTGGAAAGTGGAAAGGGGGGGCATCGGGGAGGCATCAGGGGGGTATAGGGGGGGTGTAGAGGGGGTATAGAGGGGTATAAGGGGGTATAAGGGGCACGCGAGGATTGGGATGTGTGGCCGCGTGAAGGAGATTACGGTCTCCTATATCTCCGAGAGCAACCTCCTACTCCCTATTCTGCAGAGGCCGTGTGCCGTGTGCTACTATCATTCTTGCTGTCAGCACTACCTGTCGTTATGACATTTCTTGTTATTGAAAAAAGGCTGACCTCCTGTGTTCCATTAGGCGGAGCGCGCTTCTTCGCCCCTGGCAGTTCACGTGCGCTTGTCCGCGCTGTGTGGGCGTCGATGACACACGTGGCCTTCGCTGCTCTCTGTGTGGTCGGAACTTTAGGGGATCCAGCTTGTTTTGCTGATGTCAAGGAGTTCTTGAAGTTCGGTCGTTTCTTTGATCTCAGAATGCAAATCTTATGGTTCCTGCTGCTCATGCTGCAGCCCAACTTCGTCTCTAGAAATGCCAAAGTCATGCTTCGCGAAGTGAGCGTGGCAAGGTCGTGGAGTACAGTGGGCTTCTGCTGAGTCTGACGAGTGGCAAGCCTGTGGTTCCTGCAAGGGACACATGGACGAACAGGACTGGTGTGCCGCAGTTCGGGGACCTCGGCCTCCATTCAACTGGCAGCCAGGTCAGAAGTCGCGTAGGCTGTGGACCAGCTGTAGATGATGCTGTCCTGGTTCAGACATTCATCATCATCTTCTTCCGGTTCTTTGTCGATTTCTTCACTATTATCCTCGTCTGGTTCATCATCGGTCTCACATTCGCTAAATGCTGTGTCATAGTCCATAATAACAGTTTCTAGCTGCTGTATTGTTTGTTGATCTGTGCTTTGTAATTTTCCAGTTTGCCATTCTTAATCTCATTACATGTTGTATGGCTACTTGAGAGAGAGAGCGAGAGAGCCAGAGAGCGAGAGAGCGAGACAACATGTGTTATCTTGTATTGTCGAGATGTTGGCTGTCTCTTCTAATTTTTCAATCTAATCTTGATTTCATCACTATTCATCAGGTTCTTAACATAATGTACAACCACCTAAGGTATATGTAAGACAATTTCACTAGTGGTAATGGTCCTAATCCAAGAACTCTTGTTCTGTGTTAAGAATGCATTTGTTTATGTAGAACAAGATAAGAATCAAAGCAATGAAGTTTTGAGGTTCCAGAGGCGCTGGAACAAAGTCGCATTCAGAATCTGTGCGCAGAGAAGCGGCCGACTAGGCTCAAGCCTGGGCCGCTCGCAGTTCCATGTTGCTTGTTCTTTGCGTAATTCATTTGACCCGTGCAGCGCATGCTTTCCGACCGGCTGAGAATTCCTTCGCGTATTCCCCTTCGCAGAACCGCCTTGACGCAGATTCGGAGCCACAATGCACCTTCGAAGCCACCCCGACTCTTGGCTTCGAATGTTTTTGTCATCCACAAACTTTGCGTTCGGCAAATACTGATTATTATTTCTAGAACTGCTTACTGTTATTACTACTATTTGCTATGATGTTTATTATCACCATCAGTAGTGTTAGTGTTGTTATGATTACTAGTACTAGTATTAGTACCACCACCACGACAACGACTACTACTACTCTATCTATAGTATGGTGATGGTGATTGTTATTACTAGTCTTAGTTCTCGTCATTACGGTATTATTGCTTTTGTTTCCATTATCATAATTAGCACCTTTGTTCTTATCCTTATTGTTCAGCACCCAACACAGGAGATCATAGTAGTAGAGGCATTGCTGCACACTTTGACGCGCAACACCAGCCACGACAAGGGTTGCCCATGTGACGTGGCCTACCATTGTTAGTACTGTTAGGAGTAGTAGCACTATTCCCCAAACAGAATCGTTTGGGGTTCTCTCCTCAGAAAAAAGGTGGGCCGCAGTGGCTGGATGGGTGGGCCGCGGCAACGGGGCTGGGCTCCCATTGGGCTCCCTTCATGTCTCCTTTCTGGGCTCCTGGGTCGGATGGGTGGGCCGCAGCAACGGGGCTGGGCTCCCATTGTTCATGTTTCCTTTCTGGGCTCCTGGGTCGGATGGGTGGGCCGCGGCAACGGGGCTAGGCTCCCATTGGGCTCCCTTCATGTTTCCTTTCTGGGCTCCTGGGTCGGATGGGTGGGCCGCGGCAACGGGGCTGGGCTCCCATTGGGCTCCCTTCATGTTTCCTTTCTGGGCGGGTCGGATGGGTGGGCCGCGGCAACGGGGCTGGGCTTCCATTGAGCTCCCTTCATGTTTCCTTTCTGGGCTCCTGGGTCGGATGGGTGGGTCGCGGCAAGGGGGCTGGGCTCCCATTGGGCTCCCTTCATGTTTCCTTTCTGGGCTCCTGGGTCGGATGGGTGGGCCGCGGCAACGGAGCTGGGCTCCCATTGGGCTCCCTTCATGTTTACTTTGTGGGCGGGTCGGATGGGTGGGCCGCGGCAACGGGGCTGGGCTTCCATTGAGCTCCCTTCATGTTTCCTTTCTGGGCTCCTTGGTCGGATGGGTGACGGGGCTGGGCTCCCATTGGGCTCCCTTTATGTTTCCTTTCTAGGCTCCTGGGTCGGATGGGTGGGCCGCGGCAACGGGGCTGGGCTCCCATTGGGCTCCCTTCATGTTTCCTTTCGGATGGGTGGGCCGCGGCAACGGGGCCGGGGTTCCATTGGGCTCCCTTCATGTTTCCTTTCTGGGCTCCTTGGTCGGATGGGTGACGGCTCCCATTGGGCTCCCTTCATGTTTCCTTTCTAGGCTCCTGGGTCGGATGGGTGGGCCGCGTCAACGGGGCTGGACTCCCATTGGGCTCCCTTCATGTTTCCTTTCGGATGGGTGGGCCACGGCAACGGGGCTGGGCGCCCATTGGGCTCCCTTCATGTTTCCTTTCTGGGCTTCGGGGTCGGATGCGTGGGCCGCGGCAACGGGGCTGGGCTCCCATTGGGCTCCCTTCATGTTTTCTTTCTGGCCTCCTGGGTCGGCTCCCTTCACGTTTCCTTCTGGGTGGGATGGGTGGGCCGCGGCAACGGGGCTGGGCTCGCATTGGTCCCCTTCATGTTTCCTTTCTGGGCTCCTGGGTCGGATGGGTGGGCCGCGGCAACGGGGCTGGGCTTTTATTGGGCTCCCTTCATGTTTCCTTTCTGGGCTCCTGGGCCGCAGAGTCGGATGGGTGGGCCGCGGCAACACGGCTGGGTTTCTTATTGGATTCCCTTCACATTTTTGCTTCTGGGTCGGATGGGTGGGCTGGGTCGGATGGGTGGGCCGCGGCGCCGGGCTGCTGGGCTCCCATTGGGCTCCCTTCATGTTTCCTTTCTGGGCTCCTGGGTCGGATGGGTGGGTGGCGGCAACAGGGCTGGGCTCGCGTTGGGCTCCCTTTGTGCTTTGGATGGGTGGGCGGTAACGGGGCTGGCTCCAGCCCAGAAAGGAAAGATACGGGGCTGGGCTCCCATTGGGCTCCCTTCATGTTTCCTTTCTTGGCTCCAGGGTCGGATGGGTGGGCCGCGGCAACGGGCGCTTTCCGCTTGTGGATTTCACAGACCAGGCCTATCAGACCTGGTGCCCAGAGGTTCCTGCAAGCAAGTCAGTGGTCAGTCAAAAAAAATCGGGCAACTCTCCCGCCTTTTCAACAGAAGAACCTTGCGGCACTGGCAGGATTCTTGCCTGTGTATGTGAAGCATCTCTTCGTACGTCGTGTAAGTTATACCTGCAAACAATTCTGGATTGTTTACTCAGAAAAAACTCATATAGCTGCAGTGCAGCAGTGTGGCAACAATCCTGACAATCCTGCAACTGAAGGTAGATAGTGTGCCAAAACTTTGTGTTTTTGTACCCAAGAGCTTTGAGAGCTTTGAAGCCAGCAGAACTGGACTAACCCCTTCAGGCTCTAAGCAAAGCGCGAAGATAACAGAAAATCAGCCTTCAGGCTTCAGGCCAAGCGCGAAGCCAAAGAGCTTCAATCAGGCTTCAGGTGTTGTAACAGTTGCGGGAAAAGTTTTTTTCCGCGTGTGGTGTGTAAAGAAGTAGGCTTTTTGTTTTCCTTTGTGAAAGCTCATCTGTGCGTTTCCACAGACGTACGCAGCTAGGTATCCTTTCTCGCAATGCGGTAGTGTTGTAACAGTTGCGGGAGAAATGTGCATTTTTCCCGCGCGTGGTGTGTGCGGCAGCAAGATCCTGTGCAAGAGGCCCTGCGTTCGGTCTGCAGAAAAAATCGTCAACGGTTCCGTGCAAAGAAGGGTTTTTGTTTCCTTTGTTAACGCTCCTTTGTGCTTTCCACAAGCGTATGCAGCTAGGTATCCTGTCTCGCAATGCGGCAGTGTTGTAACAGTTGCGGGAGAAATGAGCATTTTTCCCGCGCGTGGTGTGTGCGGCAGCAAGATCCTGTGCAAGAGGCCCTGCGTGCGGTCTGCGGAAAAATTCGTCAACGGTTCCGTGTAAAGAAGGCTGTTTGTTTCCCTTGTAAACGCTCATTTGTGCTTTTTCCACAAACGTATGCAGCAAGGTATCCTGTCTCGCAATGCGCCAGTGTTGTAACAGTTGCGGGAGAAATGAGCATTTTTCCCGGGCGTGGTGTGTGCGGCAGCAGGATCCTGTGCAAGAGGCCTTGCGTTCGGTCTGCGGAAAAACTCGTCAACGGTTCCGTGTAAAGAAGGCCTTTTGTTTCCTTTGTAAAAGCTCATTTTTTTTAGAAACGTATGCAGCTAGGTCGGATCAGCAGCTAGGTATCCTGTCTCGCAACGCGGCAGTGTTGTAACAGTTGCAGGAGAAATGTGCATTTTTCCCGCGCGTGGTGTGTGCGGCAGCAAGATCCTGTGCAAGAGGCCCTGCGTTCGGTCTGCGGAAAGAATCGTCAACGGTTCCGTGTAAAGAAGGCTTTTTGTTTCTTTTGTAAACGCTCACATTTGTGCTTTTTCCACAATCGTATGCAGCTAGGTATCCTGTCTCGCAATGCGGCAGTGTTGTAACAGTTGCGGGAGAAATCAGCATTTTTCCCGCGCGTCTGCGGCAGCAAGATCCTGTGCAAGAGGCCCTGCGTTCGGTCTGCGGAAAAACTCGTCATCGGTTCCGTTTAAAGAAGTCTTTTTGTTTCCTTTGTAGAAGCTCATTTGTGCTTTTTCCACAAACGTATGCAGCTAGGTATATATCCTGTCCTGGAATGCGGCAGTGTTGTAACAGTTGCGGGAGAAATGAGCATTTTTCCCGCGCGTGGTGTGTGCGGCAACAAAATCCTGTGCAAGAGGCCCTGCGTCAGGTCTGCGGATAAAATCGCCAAAAGTTCCGTTGCGGCAACAAGATTCTGTGCAGCAGGCCCTTCGTTTCGTGTGCGGGAACAAAATCGCCAGCGGTTCCGTGTAAAGAAGACCTTTTGTTTGGTCTGTAAAAGCTCATTGTACTTTTTCCACAAACATATGCAACCAAGTATCCTGTCTCGCACTGCGGCAATGTTGTAACAGTTGCGACTGGTGCGGGAGAAATGTGATTTTTTCCGCGCGTGGTGGCAGCAAGATCCTGTGCAGGAGGCTCTTCGTTCGGTCTGCGGATAAAATCGCCAACGGTTCCGTTGCGGCAGCAAGATCCTGTGCAGCAGGCCCTTCGTTTCGTCTGCGCGAACAATCGCCAA